GAGGGTAAAACTAAACAGAACAAAACAGAACAAAGCAGGCCAGAAAAAAACAATGTAAGTGGCACAGATTTCAAAGCAAGACAACAGGAGATCTACAGTGGCTTCCATAATCTCTTGTTTTCTTCTAAATAGTTTTCTACATCTTCACACCCAATGAATTCATACAAAACAAAATAGTATAAAACTGATCAGAACAGAGAAATGAAGACATTACAGGCCTTCAAAATCAGACAATATGAAAATTAACAATGGCTGCCATAATGTCTCTTGTTGTCTTCAAAATGGCTGTCAATACCTTCATATATGTTGAAATTAAACAATACAAAACAGACTAAAACCACTCTGAACAAAGAATAGAAGCATTACTGGGTTTCATAGCATGACAATATGGAATCGGCAATGGATATCTTAATGTCTCTTTTTCTTCAAAGTAGTTGTTCATTTCATCACCTATACTATAATCAAGTCTTATAAACTGTTTAGGAGAAGTTCTACACACATGTATAAGCCTCTACATGTACACCTATATCCTTTCTGTGTTAGAGGGAAAAACAAAACAAAACAGATTACCAGAAAGATAAGAAAGAAAAAAGACAAATAACAATAGCAAAGATCCCAAAACAATGATGATATAGGCCTTCAAAACAAGGTGGTAGGAACATAACTAAAGTTGTTTTTTTTACATAGAAATCTTCAAAAGAGTTCCTCAGATCACCAGACAAAAACAGGCAAAATTGTTCCAAACCTATGAATGCTAACTGTTTTGCTCCAAGAACTTATAGAATTTGTAGTACTGACATCTTAGCTAAACTGTGTGTTTATAGAAATTTAGATATTTTTTTCTTTTCCCTTACTTTTGCTTTTTTCCCCCTTCCCTGAGATATTATTTTTCCCCTTTGAGCAGATTCTTACTATTTCACTGTATTTATTGAGGATTTTGTATCTTATGTACTCTTACCATTTCTTACACTAGGGAGACTATATGGTGTTTACACATATGAGTTTGATTTATTGCACTTGGGAGTATGGTCTCAAGTTGCATCCATTTACTTATAAAAACCACAGTATGATCATTCTTTATATCTTGAGTAGTACTCCATTGTATAAAAGTACCACATCTTTTTCATTCATTCCTCAGTTGATGGGCATTTAGGTTGTTTCCAAGATCTGGCTATTACAAATTGTGTTGCTATAAACATGGGTGCACATATATCATTGTGGTATGAGTTTTTCAGTTCTGGGAATATGCCTAGAAGTGGAATAGCTGAAACAAAATGGGACTTCCAATCCCAGCATTTTAAGAAATCTTCAGACTGACCTCCACAATGGTTGCACCAGTCTACACTCCCAGTAACAGTACAGGAGAGTTCCTTTCTCTTCATAGCCTCTACAGCATTTGTTGTTGGTAGTTTTCTTGATCCTGGCCATTCTTTCTGGAGTGAGATGGAATCTCAGTGTGGTTTTAATTTGCATTTCTCTAATGACTAATGATGATGAACAATTTTTTAATATATTTATTTGCCATTTGTATTTCTTCATCTGAGAATTGTGTATTCATCTCAGATGCCAGGTTTTAGATTGGATTTTGAATTTTGGGGGTTTGATTTTTAAAAATTCTTTATATGTTTTAGACAGGAGTCCTTTGTCTGAGGGACGGTTCACTAAGATTTTTTTCCTAGTTTGTGGGTTTTCTTTTCACTATGCTGGAGATTTCTTTTGACGTGCAGAAACTTTTTAATAAGACGTGATCCCAGTTATTGATTTCTGGGGAGTGTTTCCTGTGCAGTTTGATTCCTGTTCATGAATTCTCTATCTACCACTATGTCTTCAAGGTTTTTACCCAATTTGTCTTCCAAAATAGTGTTTCTGTTTTAATATTCAGATCTTTGATCCATTTAGATTTTAATTTAGTACATAGTGATAGGCATGGGTCCAATTTTAGTTTTCAGCATATGGAGAGCCAGTTTTTCCAGCACCATTTATTAGAAAGACTGTCATTCTTCCAGGAACCTATTTGGCCCCTTTATCAAAGATAAGGTGGTTGAGCGTGTTTGTAGTTGTGGTTGTATCTTCTAATCTATTCCATTGATCTTCAGCTCTGTTTTTATTCCAGTACCATGTTGATTTTACTACAGTTGCTTTGTAGTATAACTTCAAGTCAGGGATTGTTAATGCCTCCTGCCTTGCACTTGCTGCTTAGAATTGTCTTTGCTATTCTAGGTTCCAGATGAATTTTAGGAGTGATTTCTCTAGATCTACGAGGTATGTTTATTGGGATTGCATTGAATCTATAGAACAGTTTTTGGGAGAATGGCTATTTCACAATATTTATTCTTCCTATCCATGAGCAAGGGATTTCTTTCCATTTTCTGAGATCCTCTTCTATTTCTTTTCTCAGGGTATTATAATTTTCCCTGTATAGCTCTTCCACTTCTTTCAGGATATTAATTCCTAAGTATTTCATTTTTTGGATGCTAGTGTGAGGGTGTAGCTTCCCTTATTTCTCTGTCAGTCATTTTGTTGTTAGTGTACAGGAAAGCCATTGATTTTTGAGTATTGATTTTGTATCCAGCTACATTGCTGAATTTATTTATTATATCTAGGAGACTTTCAATGAAGTTTTCTATGTAGAATATCATGTCATCTGCAAATAATGATAATTTAACTTCCTCTTTTCCTATCCTTACCCCTTTTATTTCTCACTCTTAATTGCTCTGGTTAGTATTTCCAGTACTATATTGAATAGGAGCAATGATAAAGGACATCTTTGTCTTGTGCCTGATTTTAAGGTAAAGGCCTTTAGTTTTGGGCCATGTAGTAGGATACTGGCTGTTGGTTTGTCATAGATGGCCTTTATCATATTGAGGTAAAGACTATCTATTCCAATTTTCTGTAAGACTCTTATCATGAATGAATATTGGACCTTATCATATGCTTTTTCTGCATCTATAGAAATGATCATGTGATTCTTACTTTTGGCTTTATTGATATGATGGATTATATTTATTGATTTACATATGTTGAACCATCCATCCATGAATGCCTGGATGAATCCCACTGGGTCACGGTGTATAATATTCTTGAAGATTTGCTGCATCCTATTTGCCAATATTTTATTGAGGATTTTTGCATCTGTGTTCATTAGGGAGAATGGCCTAAAAGTAGTGATAACAGACATCCTTGTCTTATTCCTGATTTTAAAGTAAAGGCTTTTAGTTTTTGGCTGTTTAATATGATGCTGGCTGTTGGCTTGTCATAGATGGCTTTTATCATATTCAGGTAAAGAGCATCTATTCCAAATTTCTGTAAGGTTCTTATCAGGAATGAGTGGTGGACCTTATCAAAGCTTTTTCTGCATCTATAGAAATGATCGTGTGATTCTTATTTTTGGCTCTATTAATATATGGATTACATTTATTGATTTGTATATATCGAACCACCTCTGCATTCTTGGGATAAACCCCAATGGTAGTGATGTATACTCTTCTTGATGACTTGCTGTATTGCTTACCAATATTTTATTGAGAATTTTTGCATCTATGTTTATTAGAGAGATTGGCCTGTAGTTCTCTTTTTCGTTTGGGTCTTTCTCTGGTTCAGGTTCTGGTATTAGAGTAATACTTGCTTCCAGGAATGAGTTAGGGAGAATTGCTTCCCTTTCAATTTCAGTGTAGAATTTGAGGAGCTTCCACATTAAGTCTTCTTTGAATTTCTTATAGAATTCCACAGTGAATCCATCTGGGCCTGGGCTTTTCTTTGTTTGTAAGGTTTTAATTACATTTTCAATTTCATGAATTGAAATTGTGTTATTCAGCAGTTTACCTTCTTGATCAGCTTTGGCAGTTCATTTGCTTCTAGAAACCTGCCCATTTCTTCTGTTATCAAGCCAATAAGCATAGAGGTTTTCAAAATAGGTGTTATCTTCTGTATTTCCACAAGATCTGCATTGATTTCAGCCTTTTCATCCCTTATTGCATGAATTTGAGTTTTTCTTTCCTTTTTAAAATAAGGTTGGCTAAGGGCTTATCAATTTTATTTATTCTTTCAAAGAATCAGGTGTCATGGTTTATGTCTGTGTCCCCCAGCCCTCATGAGTTTGAATTGTGCATTTGTTATTTGTTCATTGTCTAGTGCTTGGGTTGATTGTGTCAGTGCTCCACCCACATAGGGGTGGAGCCAGGATGTGATGTAATGGCAGGAAGAAGGTGTGTTTTTCTCTTTGCTGGTTCGAGTTTGCTGTGGGCGGCTGCCATGAACTGCAGCCCAGCCATGCCTGCCTGTCTTGGAGCCAACTGAGTGTGGACTGAAACCTCCAAAAACTGTAAGAAATAAATCTTTCCTTTCCCAACTTTGGGCTTCAGGTATTTTTGTCTCAGCGAGGAGCATAGAGTAACTAAGACACCAGGTTTTTGATTCATTGTATTGTTTTTTTTAAGTCTCTATTGCATTGGTTTCTGCTCTGTTCTTTATAATTTCCTCCCTTCTTTTGGCTTAGGCTTGAGTTGCTTTTCTTTTTCTAGATGTGTAGGGTATAGCATCAGGTTGTTTACTTGTGTTCATTCTGTTTTTCTGATGTGGAAATTCACCGCAATAAATTAGTATTCTTAACTGTGACACAGGTGAAAGAAATGGACACTTGCTAGTTGTCCGTGACAGTGGGTAGCACACCAGCACAATAGTTCCTAATACCTGCAGAGGTTTCCAGACTCTAAATTCATGGGTTCCAACCATGATAGTGGCTTTTGCTGATTCCCAGGTGGTTCTATGTGATTTCATCTTCTGCTGTCAGGTGAACCAAATGCTCTGGTATTGTACTTCTTTATTCCTTAGTCAGGGAAATTCATAGCCTATGACATACAAAGAACGTATTATCAGAAAGTCTACGTGTCACTGATGACTTCAATTCAAAAGTATTATTTCCTTTATTATTATGAGCTTCCACTGATTTACCTTTTAAAATTATATATCAAACAGACATAAATTATTAGAAAAAATAGTACTCAAGTCTAAAATATAATTTATTTTTCTTTAGAAGGCTCTTTCAAGCAGAAGTAAGGCAGGTGATGATGATGCAGACAGATATTTGATGATACAGAGCATGACATAATTTTTCAGTTCCAAGTTTGATACAGTTTAAAGGAATTAAAGTAGAAGTAACAGATTATTCTTGGGTTAAATGAATAATTTAGGCCAAAAATAACAGTAAACAATGTTTTACGGAATATTTAATTTAATGTCTAATGTAGATTCACTGAAGATTTAAAAATCCAGGGTTAAACATAAGTACCTGAACTGAGAGATCATATCAACGTCCATGAACAAAACTTTTATTACCCAAAATTCATCTAGATTTACCACATATGTCCACTTTCCAGAAGGTTGATCATTTGATGGGAATCTTTTCCAAGTGTATCATCCACTTCCTTGGTATTTTCTTTTCAACTAGGGACCAGTATGTACGAGAGCTCTTGGACAGTTAGTGGGCGCTCCTGCTGCTGGTACCATCAGTGCCTCAGGGGAACTGCTTGTCACATGGCTCTGGTTTTGTCACCTCTTCCTTTGCTATCCATTGAATATCACATATTTTATTCTCCTGATTATTTTTTTCTACCTGCTAGAGCCTTGGGAAAATTGGAAAAAGCAACTTTAAAAAAAAAAAAAAGTCAGTGAGACATACTTTGTGTATCAAATTAAAATTTGATACACAATGCATACCAGTTATCTGTTTGATCAGGTATGTTCCACAGGCTGGAATTGGGTGGAATCCCAACATTAAGCTGAGATATTACTGAGGTACTAACTATAGATGAGTGGCTTCTTTGTTCACTTAAAAGTGAAAGAATTCCAAAAGAAATACAACTAAACCAAAAGCAAAAATCTTGAGTTCTAAGACTACTTCTTGTCATACAAGTTCTAAAGAGGCATACAGACATTTAGATTATAGACTCCTATTTCCAGCCTAATCTGAACTAATAGCATGACTTTGATAGAAATTTACCTTCTAGTTGATTTCATTCCCTCACTCTAATATAAGAGAACACAAGCAGATAAGTCCTGAGGTCATTCCAGCTCTGAACACTATTAATCAACCCTCAGGGTTACTGTGAAAGAATACATGACATATGACATATAAAGGTATGTATGATTCCATGGAAGACAGTAAGTGCAGTCAAAAGGCCACAGAATTTCAGTTAACTTGTAAATGATCTGCTGTACATAATAAAATCTGAAAAGTGCATAGTAATTATCATTCTCAAACTGAGCCACTGATATAACTTTAAAAACATAAACCCCTTAAGGCAATGTGCTTAACTAGTCACCATTTTCAAGTTATGTTATATGAGTTGTGATCAAAAATATACCAAATTTTTTAAACTCTAAAAATATTTGTTACAGAAAAAGACACGTTGCCACTAATTCCCCTCAAACACTCCTCCCCTTGTTTCGAACACACATATTCCATCATTGTCACCACTTTATGAAGCAGTTCTGGAAGTTCTCCTTTGTTAGTGTCATTAGTGGCATCGTACTAGTGCTCTCCATAGTAAATAAATTCAAAATGTTTGCTTCCACGGTCATTTTAATGTTGGGGCTGATCCAGAAGTCGCACAGCACCAGACCTGGCAAGGAAGGTGGCCAAGGACACACGGTACTGTTGTGCTGAGCCTGCTTTTCCACTGGATAGCAGCAGCTTTCACAGTATTATTCTTTTAATCAAGTCTCAATAAACAAGAAAAAAGACATCTAGAAGAACTGCTTCAGAAAGTGGTAACAATGTGTCTGAAGCCACAGAGAGTCTTTTGAGGGGACACTGATGGCAATGTGCTCAGGAGTGATATTTTTATCTAAACATCCAGTGTATATTTTGATCACCCCTTGTATATATTTCTGAGTCAACCAGAATAACTTTAAAATATTCTGAAGCTTCAATTAAATTATATTTTTGAGTATATCAAATGAAGTTGAAGTAACCTGCAGATTCCTCTGTTGAGAAATTTGTTATATGCTTATTTCAGTACTGATTCAGCTAACTGTATCTTTGAGGCCAAGATCATGTAGCATCTATGATGTTAACAAAAGTACAAAACTCTGATAGACTGGACCCCAAGATCAGTGGAGCAACAAAAAATTAGGCCTGGGATTAATAATATTGACTCATGATCTACAAATCTCAAATTTCACATTTCTCTTCTGCAAGGATTTTTTTTGGTGTTGTGTAATAAAGGCACAGCTGGAGTACACAGTTACGATTTGTCCACATTTCTCCTCTTCAATGTGATCCAAATGCCATTATGTGGTCGAAGAATCAACTCTCCTGAGAGGCCAAGTTCTTCACTTTTTTGGTTGGATTCTACCCAGAACCGTCTCAAGATACAGGAAAGAATGGTCTTTTCTTCCATCACAGCAAACTTTTGACCTTCAAATAAATATAAATACTATCACTTTAATTACAGATACAACTCAAATGTGAGAAAGGTCCTATTATAGGTACAAGCTACTATATGCTTTCACATAGGCCTTCAGAGAACCATAATCACCTGCAGAAGATGAAGATTTTCGAGCATTATTTTCTGTTCCAACCCAGTGTATCTGAATCAGTGACCACAAACTCTATTTTAGCAGGACAGTTAGTCCTCAGTATCCACAGGTTCCAACATTAGAAAGAAAATCTTTATAAAATTATCATCTACAATAACATGTACAAATTGTTTTCACTATTCCAAAAACAATGTCATATAACTGCTATTAATTATTTGCACACTTTCATTGTTTTAGGTATTGTATATCATGTACAAACTTATATAGAAGGATGTGTGTAGGTTATTCAGAAGTACTACAGCAAATACACTTGAACATTTGCAGAGTTTGGTATTTGTGGGAAATTCTAGAACCATTTCCTGGAAGACACTAGGAACATTTGTGCCTCAGATGAATCCTGGGTTCATTCAGGGTTGAGAATCAATACTTTATATTGTGCTTCTTTTGACTCTTTAATTTACAATAGTGTCATCAAATGTGCTTCAGATATACTCTTTTCAGTCTGGCCATATTTTACTAATGTCTACATTCATATGAATACAAGGTGCTAGAGATACTAAAGCCAAGTGTTTATGTGCATTCATCTTGCTTAAGTACTTCAACTAGCCGAATGGCAAGTATACTTTGTTTTGGTTCTACAAAAAATGTAATTGTTAAAACCACACACATAAATTAGATTAAGCATGGCAAGTCACATATTCTTATCATAATAAGTTATATTTTACCTTACTCCCAAACCTACAACTTTTACAAACTCTATCATGAGACTGAGTATGTCATGTTGTACAATGAACTGTGTCCGCATCCAAAACTTGGATGTGTGTGTTCCTATCCCTGGTATTTTACAGTTTGATTATACTAGAGATAGGATCTTTAAAAAGCTAATGAATGGCCAGAAATGGTGGCGCGTGCCTGTAATCCTTACTACTCTGCTGCTCTAGAGACTGAGACAGGAAAAGCACAAACTCAAGGAGACCTTGGGCAACTTAGCAAGACCCTAATAACTAAATAAATAAAAGGGCTGAGGATAAAGCTTAGTATTCTCTACATTCAATACTCAGTAACTAAAAAAAAAGAGGAAAGTGATAATGAATAAGAAATGTTAACCTTAATTAATTTTAAACCAGGTCATGAGGTAGGACCTAATACAAATGCTGCAGAGATATGAGAACACAGGCACACACCAAGACCAAGAGAAGACACAGAGAGAAGGCAGCCATGTGGGAGCCAATGAACAAAGCCTCAAAACCTTGTGGAACTTTAGCCTTCAAAACTGTAAAAAAAAAATCTATTGTTTAAGCCGACCCATCTGGGATACTCCAGAAGGGCAGCCCTAGGAAACAACTGTACTTTCTGACAGTAATATTTTAAAATTCTAAAGTGGAAGGAGAAAGAGTCCAGTATCTTCAAGACACTTGTGCGCAGATAATGTCATATCACATCTTAAAGAGATTCTTGTGAGGAAGCGCCTAACATATAGGCTAGAGAGATGAAACCAATTCCAGTGGATACAAACCTATACAGTTTCTAGGTCCAGCAGAGAAGGGCACATATGCATATGGATGGCGTCCCTTTGCATTCTCAGGAAAGAACCGCTCTGGCTGGAATTCCTCAGGATTTGGGAAGTACCTTGGATCTCTGTGCAATGCATAGGGAATGATGACGGCTTCTGTGTCCTTCACAACTTTGTAACCCGCTGGCAAGAAGTAAGCATCATGTCATTCACAGAACAAGGCTCACACTAGTGATAATATCCACTCTTCCAATTATCCTAACTATGGAACACATACCCACTTCACAATCTTCATTAAGACGTCGGGCAAATAAAGGTACAGGAGGAAAAATGCGAAGGGTCTCCTTAATGACACAGTCCAGATACTTAAGTTTCTTTAGGTCTTCCAAAGTCACGGGATGATCAGACTTCCCTGATTAAAGAAAGTGTATGAAATGACAGTGAAAGGACTCTGGGCTTGGGAGGGGTGAATGCATTAAAGAACAATATATGACTCAAAGCATGAAACACTGAATCCCCACAGGTATAGTAGAACTTCTAATATTATGGATAATCAAAATAAAATGAGACAAAATGCTAATTAAATAAATCAAATACAAAAATCACATATTATATGACTATTTGTAAACATAGAAAGCAAATTGGTGGTCACCAGGGTCTGGGTAGATGGAGAATCAGGAATATTTAATGATGCAGAGTTTCTTTAGGGGTGAGAATATTTTAGCACTAGAGATGACAAACACATTGTGAATGTTCTAAATGCCACTAAATTTTGCATTTTAAAATGATTAATTTCACATTATGTGACATTTACCTCAATTAAGTGTTACTAATTATGGGAGATTAAAATCATTCATGACACTGGCAATGAGACAAAAATTGTAGAATACACACACAAAAAAATGTGACCCACTTCAAAAGAACTTGTGAGCTTTTAGAAAACCAAATTTGTACCCTGAAGTACCCTGAGAGAAAGTAAAGTTGAAATGAGAAAAAATAAAATGACTACAGAAATGAAGCTTGAATTTAGATATCTTTACTCTCTAAAAGTCTTACTTATAAAATCCCAGTCTTCACAGGGTCTGGATGCAAACCTGTCTTTCCAAATATCTCTGAACACTGCATTGAGCCAAGGGTCCTGAACTCCAGTGTTTCTTACTGTTCATTACTGCTCTGCAAACCAGAAAGCTTCCTACTTCGGTGTCATTGTTCTGCTGCCTCCTCTCTTTCTAGAATGCTTTTTCTCAAGCACTGTTTTCCTTTATTTTCCTTTCCCACTTTTCTCTATGGATCTAAATAAGACACCACATTTTAGTAAGCTAAGCCAACTTTTTTCCTTTTCATCTTCTGCCTATGTGGAACCAGTTGACACATGATTTTTAAAAAGGGTAAAATATGATGATGCACTGATAATGAGCCCCTAGAATATGAAGTCTTGATTCCTGGAACCATTGAAGGCTATCTTACTCAGAAAAAAAGGACTTTAGAGAAGTGATTAAATTAAGGCTCTTAAAATGTGGAAATAATACTGAATGCCATCAGGGATCCTTAAAATACACACACACACACACACACACACACACACACACACACGCACACACGAGAAGGCAAGGTGGAAGATGCCATGCACTCATGAGCAGAGGTTTGAATAATGCACCCATAAATCAAGGTACATTAGCAGCTGCCAAAAGTTTAAGAAACAAGGGTGATTTTTTTTTCCAGTAGGAGTGCAACCCTGTTGATTTAGGCTTAGTAATACTGATTTTTGGATTTCAATGCTCAAAAAATGAGAGAACATGTTTCTGTTAAGCCTTCTAGTTTGTGGAATTTGTTACAGTTGCCATAGGAAACTAATACATCGTTTACCCCCCACTTCTGTCATTTTGGTCAGATGTAGTTCCCATATGAAATTGCTTTTCTTTATCCTATCAGCTCTGCCTGCTCCTCTGTGTTCCCCTCTTTACGTCACTCAAGGACACAGCCCTTGAAGAGGAGCTTTATGAATGTGTGCCAGTTTCACCCATCAGTAGTTGGATCCTTGAGGTCAGTCCTATGGATCTGTGCAGGCGCAGCAGCTAGCCCACGGCAGTCACATATCAGGGGCTTGACAAAGCTTGTAAAGGAACAGATAGAGCCTCACAGAGGAGAAAGGTCCTGGAAGTGACTCTGCAGGGGCATTCCTGCCTTGGACACTGTCCTTAGAACAGGTCCTCCTGCACATGCTTAAGGAGCAGGAATGTTGCTTAGGTGCATGCAGGGTCTACAATCTCATGAGTGAAGGAGTCAAACATACCAAACACTTCATCCAGTTCATTGTCTACTTTTTTCTGGACTTCTGGATAAGAACCCAACAGGTATAAGGACCAGTTTATAGCTGCTGCAGTTGTATCATGGCCCTAGAATTGTAAAAAAAAAAAAAAAAAAAAAAAAAGCAAAACTAAAAAAAACAGCTTTAAAAAACAGCATTATACTAAGAAGATCAGGAGTAAGTATATATTCCTTTGCATTTTCTGTACACTTGACAGTTGTAGCCTAACTGCAGAACATAAACTCTTTCTATTTAGAACTTCACCTCTGTGACAAATACTACAGTCTCTTAAAAGCAGAGGCCTGTCCTTAGCGATGACCTTTCAATGTCTCACCATGTTGCATATTTTGCAGGAAGCTGCTGGGCTGTGCTAACGAAGGTGCAGTCTGGGAGATCCTGGAGAGCTACATCTTTCTAAGAGACACAAATGTCTGGTTCTCCTGAGTCAACTTCCAGATCTGTATTTGAGGGAAAATTTATGTGACGATGCTGAACACCCAGAGCACACATGTGTGCAATTCTGAGCAATATTCTCCATTTCAAGAAGCTGCCTAGTTAATGCTTGCTGAGTTTCAGGCAAAATATTAAGTACTTTCCAGAAGTTAATTCAATGAACCTTCACAAAACTCTAGTATATATTCATTAATATTATTCATATTTTTTAGAATAAAACTGTGGCAAAAAAAAGTCAAACACATTCTCCAGGACCGGACAGCTTTGTAGAAGGTACACATAGAAAGAGATTTCCAAAATGACGATAAAACCAAGTCCGTGTTATCGCCCACTACAACCATGGGGCGTCCTGCAGGAAGGAAAGCTCCCTGAGTCTCACGGCCACACCTAGACAGCCTCATCCTCTAGCTAGTCAATATTTTAGGGTTCGCTTCTTATCTCATATCTTCACTCATTGGATGCTTTCTATATGCTAAAGCAGTAAGATTCAGGAAAAAATGTGTAGGAAAATCAGTAATTGTGGTATGTCTCTAGGAATAAGATTTGTAACACAAATAGAAAAATATAATCTCCTTCATAGATGATCTTACTTTTCCACTTTCCTATGCAGTATAAATGCTCACTGTAACATTTCAATCTCTGGGCAAACATCTCCCAAATCTTTGTTGCACAGAGTAGCTTTTGAATTGTTTCAGTTTGTTTTGAAAATTTTAAAAATTAGTCTACGAGTCTCAGATTTTGGCACTTCACTGCATTTTCTTGCCTAAGTTCTTTTATAAACTCTACTCTAGATGTGATTCAAGCCATTTCACTCAGTTCTCTACTAAGTGATGTATGGAAAGACTTCTGCTGAACCATTTGGTTTTTCTTGAACTTGTGAGTGGAAATTTGACCCACATGTATAGGACTGAAGGCATGGAATTTCCTACAGTATTCTATTTTGTCTGCTGTCCACAAAAGGTGAATGAAGCAAAACAAAGCAAAGTTAACTGGAGCACACTGGTGACTTGGGGAGAGCCAACAGCTTAATACCTAAGGCTGGGGCCTAGAACACAGAAGACCTGAACTTAGCCTGCACCCAGCTTATAGAGCAGGCTGTGATATTAGCTACATATCATATGCCTCTTAGTGAAAGAAGAAGAGAATTAGAATGTCAAAGAATGTTAGAGATAGAAGATCATTAGCCTAGCTGTCTTATGGCAATGAGAGATTACAGGTGAGAAGAATGTGCACACATGCATGTGCATTTGTATGTGTGTGTTAATGTGAGTGTGTGTATGTATGTGTGTGTGTGTGTGAACATGGGCAAGGCCAAATGATAATATTCAATACATGCTGCAAGCTTCCTATGTACCACTGAGAAGAATCTTTCATTCTTAGTGCTCTTTGAAAAACATCTAATCACTATGACTGAGGCCTTACTTTTAAAGCAAGATTACAGGGTTGGGGATATAGCTCAGGGATTCAATCCCCAGAACTGTGAAAGACAAAAGAGGAAAAGAATACTCAGACTCAGAAAAGTTATATGTGGTGACTGAGGCCATGCTTGTCGTATGTGTCAGGCTGGGGATTTGATCTCAGAACCTGTTCTACTTTTCAGCTTGTTTAGACATCCATTTTCTGTTTCAAGATTTCTTTTCACTAAACTGTTCCCTCCTAACTAGTAAGTTTAAACCACTGATTCAACCTATCTCTCTCTTTAACATAGAGAAACTGTGATTGAGATCAGGAATGACTGTAAAGTGTCTTAGGCACTTCTTTGTCACTGCAACAAAATACCTGACACCTGCAGCTTAAAGGAGAAGTTTATTTTAGCTCACAATTCAGAATCCTATTCAATTAGAATAGATGACACAGTTTCATTTGTTTGTGCTTTTTCATTATTCTTTGGGGTCATAGCCAAGAAATTACTGCTCAGACTAATCTCAAGAAGTGTTCTACCTTTTCTTCTAGCATGTTTACAGTTTCAAATTTAGTCTGTTTAGTCTGCTTTAGTTAATTCTTGTATAAGGGGAAAGAAAAAGGTTCATTTTTATTTAAGAGCATGTAGATATTTCGTTTTCCCAAAACTACTTACTGAAGACTCTCTGTCATGCATTTTTGACACTTTAATTGAAAGTAAGTTGGTTATAAATGCATAGATTTGTTTCTATGTTTTTTATTCTGTTCCATTAGTCTATACATCTATTTTCATGACACTACCATGCTATTTTGATTGCTATAGCTTTGTAGTATGTTTTGAAGTCAGCTGATATGCCTCCAGTTTTGTTCTTTTTGTTCAAGATTGTGTTAGCCTGTAAGAATTTTTTATTTCTCTGAAAAATTTTATTAGAATTTTGATAGAAATTTCAATGAACTCTTAGACTGTACAACCAAAATAGCCATCAACAAATGACTAAATTTAATAGTAGGATGTACATACAATGAAACACTACTCAACTTTCTTTTTAAAAAAGAAGAAATTTTCATTTTCAATAACATATATAAATCTAGAGGACATTAGCCAAATTGAAATAAGCCAGAACAGAAAGAAAAATACCATGTGATCTCACTTATAAATGGAAGCTACAAAAGTTGAACTAACAGAAGAAGTTAGTGGTTACCAGAGGCTGGCTGTGGGCAGGCAGATGGAAAGGGAGTGATACTGGCCAAAGGACACCAAAATTTAGACAAGAGGAATAAATCCTAGCAATCTACTGTACAATGTGGTGATTACCACTGATAGCAGTGTATTATATAGCTCAAAATTGCTAAAAGGGTGAAATTGAAATGTTCTCAACACAAATAAATCATAAATATGTGTAGATGATGGATATGTTAATCTCATTTAATCATTTCACAGTGTACATGCATCATGCAGTTATTATTTATCAAAAAATTAAATACAATTTTAAAAGAATGCATGAGCACTTGTATTATAACCAGATGGCATGAATCACTTGAAACATGGATGGGTGTTACTTTCTTCCTCTTAAAGGATATTACTACATATGGCTTCTAATTATCATTTCTTTATTTTGCAATCCACATATAGCAGGATTTATTCTTTGTAATATTTAATATTTAAAATTGTATTTGTAAAAAGCACTTTAAAAAAAGGTCAGAAATTCCTTCAGAATCACAAACTGGTTGGATTCTACATTGGAGATGTTTTATATTTTTAATTACAGTACTGAGGATAGATTTCAAAATGAGAAACATCCCCGCCCTTAATTTTTATTTTATTTTATTTACTTTGAGACAAAGTCTCATTAAATTACTCAGTTGCTCAGGTTAGCCTTGAACTTGTGATCCCCGTGCCTCAGGCTCCCAGAGTGCTGGGATTACAAGTTTTCAGTACTGTGCCTGGCTTAGTAGAAGATTCTTACTATCCTTTATAGCTAATGCAGCTCACAGCAGAAGCTAAGTGTTCGTCTGTTAGAACTCTAGAAGGAGAAAGTAAAGAAGTTAATGGGCTGAAGATCTTAAAAGAAAGCATGAAGCAATATAGAGAACTGAGAGCAACTTCTGGCTTTTCTTCTGGTTAGAGAAAGTCTGACTAAGCTTCGATTTTCTTGAGAAAAACTATATATACTGCTGCAGCCACCAGAAGTCAAAATGTTGTTCCGAAGAGGGAAGTTGATCCAGTATTTCCTCAGGTTCTTGAATTTTGTAATTTCTGATGGTAATACAATGTCTTCTTCAGTTATACTGCACTACTGGCTAATTTTTTTTTAATTATGCAAAAGATTCTAAAAAGAACAGGAACTTGTTTGTTTTTTGTTTTTGCAGTGCTGGAGATGAAAGGGCTTCTCCCATGTTAGGGAAGTGCTCTATCATGGAGCTATCCTCAGGGGCAAGGTATTTGTTAATGGTACCTAGAAATCACCCGAAAATATCAAATACCTCAAACATGAAGGTGTCAACTTCTTCTCGAATATCTTCATGACTTAGTTTGTTGCCTTGTTCATCAGTCACACTTAAAAGCAAATCCAGAAAAGCCTTGCCTTTTCTTTTGGAGATGCCGGGAGCCGAGCTGGCACTTTTATTTTCTTCCTTTGCCTTCATTTCATTGACCTTTTCGGCAATGACCTGTATGATTTAAGTGACAGTCATATGAGGTTGCTCAGATGTTGTTAAAGCCTTAGAGATACATTTTTTCATAAAAATATGCTGGCTTCTTGAACTTACTTTTTCTGCTCTTTCCATTTCAATGACAATTTAGGCTCTTGTGAAAATACATTAAAGCCTCCTGTTAACACTTAAGACATTATTTGATGAAACTATAAAAACAAACTTAACATCAGACAAGTGCAAAATTTTCAAGTTCTATTTTTGTAATCTTCCTGGTATGGAATAGAGTCCTGCTCTACTAAATTATACCCTAGAGATTTGAGTGAGTTAACGAGAAAAGATTTTAAGTGGTGGAGAGGACACAGCCATTACATAGGAAACTAATTATAGATCACTCTTAATTACTGTGTGTTATGTTAGAGAAAAAACCACCAAGTTAACTCATCGATATACTCCTTGTGCTTACTATTTGATATACCTGGAAGGCTCTTGCCTCAGTGCCTGCATGGCTTCTCTCGGGTCTCTGCTCACTGTCACAATACGAGACTTTGCCTAATGACTGGTACCCTAATCTCTAGCACTATTTTCCCAGCACTTGGTTTTCCCGATGTCACTTCCCCCCTGACATATTACACCTGCTATTCATTATCATTTTCCTCAACTCAAATGCTACCCTCCACATGGCAGCAAATTTGTTTTGAGCAATTGATATATTGATATATTTCCAAATTCTAGAGCATCCACTGGAATTTAACAAATGCTCATTAAATATTTGCTGAATGAATGCAAGTTAAAGTCTATACATTTAATGATACATTTCAATTTTCTTTTTCTTATCAGGCAACTGACAAAATTTTCTGATAAGTAGCTTGAATGAGCAGACTCTAAGCTTACTGAAGGTAAGAAGAAAAAGAAAAAGGAGGAGGAGGAGGAAAAGGAGAAAGAGGAAGAAGAGGAAAAGAAGGGGAAAACATCTATGGGAAGCTCATTCTGTAAAAGTCTCAGTATGCAATTTTCAATATGTGTAAAATGAATGACACTGAATTTAGTCTGGAATTTGTTCATATTGATATTAATACTAATGTTTGAAATGTAAGAGAAAATGTAATTGTAATATGCAACCTGTTTGTTGTTTTGTTACTATTTCTTGACATGAGGCAGCAATTCCAATGTAATTGAACCAGTTTATAGTAAAGAAAGAATAACTCAGATAGGTCTACTTTCAATATATCTAAGTTGTAATATGCGTATTTTCAACCAACTCATGCTTTTTTCATAAACACATTTTGATACAAAGATTGATGTATTATATCCAAACCAAAATCTTTATCTTCTGTTTATTTTTCACTTAGAAATAAAAGAATAAAACATTTTCCTTCTAAATTAAGATATGTACTGCTTTAAATGCCTTTTGCTTTTGAAAACTACTACCATCTCCAAATATTGCCCAGTAAATTCTTAGACACAGATCTGTTTTCTTATTCTTTTGCACAGGCACTGTTTGTCAATGAAGTGTTCACAGCCAACACCATATTTTGTTATAATTTGCTAATGGATAACCTCCACTACTGGCCTAATCTATTACGGAGGGAGGGATCATACATATGTAATTTATTACCATTCGAGTACCGCATTTGGCATTTAATGGGCACTATAGTCATAGACAAAGTTTAAAAAGTCACAGGCTTACAAATTTATGGAAATAGTGATGATGGTTATGCAACTCTGAATCTATTCAATGCCAATGAATTATACACTTCAAATGGTTATAACGGCGAATTTTTGTTATGTATCCTACTGTAATGAGAAAAATGGCTTACGTTTTTGGTAAAAGTGTGTAGGATCTCTAGGTCCCTTTTGTGCTCTCGTCCTTCTTTAAACATAAGATACCAAAGGTCAGGCCAAAGCCAGGGCATCTTCATTCTTCGAAAAATCTTATCACTCATCCTGTAAATAGCATAAAAACACATCACATTTTACCACTGAAGAGCATATTCCTTGAGCACCTAACTGGTGTGTAGGCATAATGAAGGTTATGCATGTGAATGAGGCTAATTAGTCTTTCAGGCTTAGTGCTAATCAAAGGACTGGACTATTACGCAATCAAGGAAGCTTTTAGAAAATGGACTCTTCAGAAGAATGAAAAATCCACTACAAAACATCCTTATAGATGATACTTGGTCCCTATGCTTCTTCATCTACAGTGAGTTCTCAACTTCCCGAGGCTGCCCCAGTCCTTTGTACCAAAGGCTGACATGAAATCTGCTTCTTTTGAAGATCCACTCATTCATCTGATCACTCTTCTGAGTGATGCCAAAGCTACTGGTGTTTTCTACAAAAGTGCGCTCATGGCTGTCCAAAAAACTCCCTCTCAGTCCCAGTGATGGAACAGAAAATCCTCTACATGATTAGGATGGGATTAGATGCCAGTTTTTCAGAGATCTTTCCCCTGTAGAACCTACCCTTGTTTTTTTCTTTAGTATAAGTTTTTCTTCCTAAGAACGTATTATAATTCTTAAGTTTACATTTGATAACCCAATGCTTGTCTCCTATGCTACTATAAAATCAGCACTGTGTGGGACTGACATATTATAGATGGCCAATCAACATTTATTAAAATGAAGTGAAATGAACCGTAGACCTTAAGATAAGATAAATCAAATCAAATCCTGGCTCCGCTTCTTAGTAGCCAAAAAATTACAATTAACTTTAAATAAAACTGATTGTTTCAGTTGCAAAAGAATGTGCAGAAAGTATGGGAAAGGAAAGTAAATACCAATGAATACAAAAATGCAATAAAAAAGACAAATTCATACACAAAACAATGATTAAGTATTTTTTCTTCTGGTTTTTTCCCCTACAAATAATTTCTTATATATAGTGGTTGTTGTATTACAAGAATCGTTTATATTTTTCATGGGTTTCATAATGTCACTATCATAATTTACAACATAATATAATCTCCGTATATTAAAAAGTAACAATTTTAAATTTCTACATAATCTGCATATACCATAATTTACATAACCATTTCTATTACTCAAATGCACGCTGAAATTATGAGATTAATTTTGAGTTAATCTTTAACTCAAAGATCTTTGAGTTCCTTTTGAAATAATACAAAGTCACAACATAGACACAAATAATCACCAGTAATTTTTAAAGCCCAACTCAACACTTTAAAGAATAACCAAAAGAACTCTTATTTACCTATAAACTGCACGGACGTACTTGGAATCTTTATTGCTCTGAGCACCAATACGCTTCCCCATAGCTGTTTCTATAAGACACGGGGGAGAAGCAACCATTTAACTCACGCACATATCTTTTGCTTATTTTACAGAGGCAAAAGGCAAAATTCTGCCCCTTTCTGCTGTATTTTAGCAGATTTTTCCTTTGTTTGCTTTTGTACTGTTGCTTCGCCCACTCTTTGCTCCTCTTCTTCCCTCCTTTGGACCTTCCCAGCTCCTTGGCTCTCCCTGTTGCCCTGTGAGTGGCTGCTGTTTCTCAGTGGCCAACCTACCAGTTGCACCAGCTTGAAGAACCCCATGTTCTTTCCCATTTCCTCATTTCCCTTCCCGATGGAATGTTATTCTCTATTTGGGCTATTTTATCTTTATGCCATGACTTTAGATACAAATCAATCAGGCTTACCACAGATTATATCCAAGACACAAAGAGTGATATAAAAAAAGCAGTTAAATGCCTCTTGGTTAACATGTTTTTCAAGTTTATTAGCCAATATATTTGCTTGTTCATTCATGATATCTAAGAAATCCTCCAGAATTGTAAAATGGAAAGTGGGTGTTAACATTTTTCTCCGGGAGCGCCATTTGATTCCAGTACTAGAAATACAATACATGGTTACAAATAAGAAAACTCTCATGCAAAATAAATAAAGCACAAATATACCTAACCCAGCAAAACTCTAAAGCAGCCTCACCTGCACATACTCAGATGCTTTGGTTGGAACAGCAAACATACAAAATATTCACAAGTAGTTACAAAATATAGATATTTTCATACACTGTTTCGCAATACTGATAGTTAAAAGAACATCCATAAAGGAGAAAAATTTAAGAATTTCTCTCCACTTATAAGTTCTGAGTTTCTAACACTGTCTTTCTTCCTCACTGATACTTCAGTTCTCAAATGTTCACATGTTCCATGACTCTACTTCCCTTTTTTCTGTATTTGAATTCTCCAAAGCTCTTACAAGTTTTTTTCTCGTGCCAGGCCCTGTCTTAGAAGACGCAGTCCTATCACTGGATTCCAGGTCAGGTTTGAAGTCACTGTGTTCAGTGTTCTCCGAGGCTGCTGTCTATTTTCATTGGCTTTGCAAACTTTCCCTGCTCCAGATAATCTTTTGCTTTACTGCACTTGAACATCAAGATCTCTTAATTCTTCTCGGAGCACTATAGGTGGTCATATTGAGTATCATGATTAGAGATGACCAGATACTTTGAACCTCTGTCTGTCAAAGACCCACAGTTAGCTAGACCTCTCCTTCTATCCTTTTTCCTCCTTCTTGAGACCAATCATGCTGCAGAAAAACTATCTTCTGTCAGTTCCTAAAACAACAATTTACACACACAAGTAATTATGAGACATCTTTACAAATTTACACTGACCTACCTTGTAAGTAGTCCTAAGCCAAGCCACGGCTCTATGAACTTGTACATAAAGGATTTGTCAATTTGCTTCGAACTAGTTAAAATTACCTTAGGTAGAGAGGGAGAAAAAAGAAAGATACATATACAAACATCAAAACAACTTCAATTATTGAAAAACTTGGTTAGTATACAGCTATATTTTATGTTTCAAAACCTTTATTTTCGGGGCTGGGGATTTAGCTCAGCGGCATAAGCGCCTGCCTTGCAAGCAGGCAGTCCTGAGTTCGATCCCCGGGAGTGATAAAAAGACAAAAAACAAAACAAAAAACCCTTTATTTTCTCTGAAGTTCATTTTCATTCTTGTGCCTCAGAGAAATCCAATCCGAGTTTTGAACTTGTCGTTCAGTTTCAAAATTAAGTAGAGTTGAGGAAAAGATACTTCCCTAATTCTTGCCATGAATCAGGAGCCAAGTAGAGACATTAAGTGAGGATGGGAAGAAGAGAAGAGGGAGAGGAGTTTGGAGGAGGACCACGATGGAAATCATGAGATTCTCTTGGAGAAGGCTGATTTTGAGACATTTAGCTGTTTATGCTCTGAGAGCAGGTAGGAAGCTCAGGATAAAGATGCTACAGCAGCATGTCTGAGTGTCTCTCGCAGACAGCTAACAGTGAAAACACTGAGTATCTAAGGTGGTGCACAGAATGCTCCCCCAGCTTTCTCCATTCTGGACAGATCTCTATCCACAGGTACCAAACCGACTTCAAGAGGTCTACAGTAGCCCAAATCCTCTACTTAGTTCCCCTCATTATCTTCCTGAACTAGGACTCTGGCACAGGGCACAAGGACAACTCCCACATGTCTATCACAACAACCAAGGGAGACTTATGCCAGTACTTGCCAGAATCCCTCAGGGAATCCTGTTTTTAATTTTTTCCATGAAGAGACACTCTATTGCATTTTTACTCCCTGACCCAAATCCAAATCCTTTTCTCATATCACCAGATAGTTCCTCCAGTGGCACAATATTGAATACAAGGTCTATAAATTTTCTGAAGAGTAATTTCAACAGCAGGAATTAATAATGTCTACTCTGTCGACATCACATGAGCATCCCCTTTAAATGTAGAATAACAAAATCACTGCTGTCATATGAGCCCCTGAGCACTGTGAGGGAAGCCCCATATGTAGTTAGTCACATTTTGGAATCTTACCACTGTGTCAGGTAGATAACAAGTGCTAACCTTGTACAATAATCTACTTATGGTTCTAAAAGGCATATCCCTCTAGAGACTTTCCAAACTGGAGAACAAATATATTGAGAGTTTGCAAATGTACCTTGTCTCTCCAGGATTCTCACTACATCTATGAAGGACTAAATGAATTTTACATAACATAAAACATTTAATGAAATAATCTTTGTACAGAGTTAAGTGAAATTCAAAGGCACATTTGTTACATGTATTCCCACACTATCAAATACAAGTAAAACAGCGATCTTATTTCCCACACATTTACCTCCACATTTTCTGCATGATAAAGGGCCACCATCGGCACTGGTCCAATCCAGAGTTTCAGCAGTGGCATGTGTCGGAATTCTTCTGTGTATTTAATTAGCTGTTGAAAAAATTCTAGGAAAAATTATTTCATTTTAAATTCCATCAAGAAATGAACCTTGTTAATAGTATTAACAAATGTTCATTGCCTCGTTTAATGAATGTACAGTACTAATTATGTAGAATGTTATCATTAAAGGAGGCTCAAGGGGGGCAAATGTGAACTCTGCACTATTTTTGCAACTTACATATAGATTTAAAACTATTCCAAAATAATGTTTCTGTCACAAATAAGTATAACATTATGACATTAGTTATTATAGAACTATTAGGTTTCCCTATGGCAAATGTACACTTCTAAGACATTGCCCATCATTATGGAGCTAGTAAATGGCTTTGTACCCAGACTCTCGAACTGTTACACACAAATTTGAAATGTCTCATGAATAAAATTGCTGTGAAAAGGACTGGGTCAAATCACCAGTGTCAAAACATGTGGCTTCATGTTAATGTACTGCCTGTCTTTTTCTGTCTAACGAAGTGAGGTCTGAGTCTGTGGTTTGAGCTGTCAGGTCCTTGGACACAGCTGGACACAGCTGGGCACAGCTAGGGGACAGTGAAGGGAAGCAGGCGTTCACACAATGCACTGGAGATGCACCACGTCAGGGTTTAAAAGCAATCAGAAGCCACGTGCAATGCCACAGGTGAGATTAATGAGCCAAAATTCAGGCTTCAGCCCCAGAATGGAAGGAATAGCCTCTTATATAGCAACAACGGAACTTAGAACACTGATGTTATCTTAGGGGAGTCTCACATCCCCAACTTTGCTGAGCTCAATGTTGGGTGTAAATCAGGGCTTCAGTAAATGCTTGATTGGTAATTAAAGGATTTATTTTAGCCAAGTTCCAGGCAGTAGTCTAGAAGCTTTCCTTGGGTTTAATCCTTAAAAATTTAGCTCTGTAATACAGTTCCTTTTACAAATAAAATAATGAAGAATTTTTTTTAAAAACTCCTTTGATTTAGAGACTTTTAAATTACGTCTCAAATTCTTTACTTGGTTACAGAATTAGAAACCGAGCAAAAGTGCCATACCACCAAAATCCAGTATTTGTTGATAGAATAAAAGGTCACTCTGAAACAGGCAAAATATTGTCATTCCTCTCACTCATAAAGTCATTCCACACAGAACTACTTTAAATAGCCCGTGGTTTCTTTTAAAACTGGTCTCTTTATTGGAAAGTTTAATTCTTGGAATCCCTTCTCAATATATGATGATATTTCTTAAGTGTGTCACTTTCTCGGAATAAAGTTGGGAAAGAGTATCTAGGATAAGGTCATAATCCAAAAAGACACTATTATGAACTCTATGGGCCAAAGTATCGAAATCCTTAAAGATCGAAATATTCAGTCTTAAACCCCTGAAGTCTAAAGAACTGTAAAGTTAAAATCCTTAAAGTAGAATTCTGGAAAAATAATTTTAAAAATTCTTTAGCAAACATTTGTGTACATTTTTAAAAGGGGATTTGAGAAACAAAAACATGACAGAACATAAGCCATTTTTCACAATAAAATAAATACAATATATGTTTTTGCAATAATGAAAACAGTTATATTAATAACATCCATATAGCTACAGTTGACAGCAATATGCAGATAAACTAAACTTATAAAAAATAGGTCAAAGAGCAAAATATATGATAACCTATCTGTACAGCTGGCAACTGTGTACATCCAGCTTTATAGCTGCTGGCATGAGAAATGCCATAGCAGACAACCTAAATTTTGTGAAAAGATCAAAAACCACAATGATGAATCATCACAACATAGAGAACTGTACAAAAGACTGAGATCTCAAAAATCTTAGCTTCTCAGATGCAGGTGTTAAAAAAAAGGCATCTCTTCGTTCACATTGTGTTTCAGTGTTTTTATACACACGTACAGGGCTTCCACACAAAGCTAACACTGTGATAATGAGCTTTTACTAGTTAAAATATGTAAAATAATACATAAAATGTATTAGAATTTTCTGAGTCATTATACAATTACACTGTATTAGAAATGATGCAAAGACAAAATCCATAGCGTAGTAAATGAGATGGCAGAGGCCAACACACGCCTAAGTCCTGAAGTCTGATGAGCTAGGAGTTTGCATAGTCAAGGTAGCAGAAATAAATTGTGTCCCAGCTCTCAGAGACCTATTTGCCTTCTATATTTGTTCCTTCTGAGCCACCATAGACTGTACAGTCTGTGCCCACACTGAGTGTTGATCCTCCCTACTTGATCCATTGAGAGTCACACAGAAGTCTCCTCTGAAACAGACATACACAAAATGATGACGTTCTGTGTGTCTAGGTATTCAATCTGGTTAACATGATGCAAGTACTCTTGGTATAACCAGAAACAGTCATCTCATCCCCAGAATTTGGCTTTCATTCTCTCTTTTTTGTAGTGAGTTTTTTGTTGTTGTCGTTGTTTGGCTTTCAGGATTCCAGTATTTGTGATTTGAATATTTCACAGCTGTGATTTTGGAAATTTTAGACTTTAGGGATTTTGATCGTTCAGAATTTCAATACTTGGGATTATGGAATTTGGGCTGTGTCTTTTGAGATTATGATTGACAAAGGAAGAATCTATATTTCTATACAATTATTAATATCATAAAGCATTAGAGTTGAAGGGAGGTTAGCTCTGCTTTTGTACTAACCAAGATGATTTTTATCAATGTGATTTTCATATATCTAAATGTGTTTTCAGGTTATTTGTACCATTAGTCATTGATATTTGGTTGAAGACATTTACTAGGGTTTCTTCTATCAGATAATAGTTTTGGCAGTACTTTCTCATGCAGGCTTATCTTACTTTTGTGAAGTTGACAGTGTTATTTTTATTTGAGGAAATAGAGACAATGAAATAATCCTTCAAGCTTTGCAAGTAATGCTCAGCATACAAAAGTTACTCATCATAAATCTGAAAAAGGAACCGGGTTTTGGTCAGTGTCTATTTTACTTTTCTCAAGAGTCCATTGTAAAATGCTATTTTGGATAAATGTTTGGCCCTGGGTATCCCGATTTACACACCCACAGAAGTGAGAGACAGCCATGTAGCTCACTGTCCCTAATAGGAGACTCAAACGCCAGGAACTTAGCAGAGCTTTCTAACTTAAAACGATATTTTTCCATGCACAAAACGTAAGTGTATCTCTTTTTTTTTTTTCAACAGATTACTTCAATTTTTAAAAATTCACTCTTCAATAAACAATGCTTTTGAAAACTTGCCATGTAAATTTGCCTTAAGGCCAATCCAACGTAGTTTATCAACTTTTATTTTGAAACCTCCTTAAAGATGTTAACATACGAAAGTCAAGAAGGAACAAAAAGTATGTAGTGGTTAAGTCATATGATCCCAGAGTCAGGCATATGACAGGGGTACAGCACTAAATTTGGGAGCGTTTGTCATATTCTGAGCAAGTTTGTCTTACAAACCAAACTGCAGAAAAGACAGGGTTTGAGATGTGCACCTCTCTTGAAGCAAAAGAAAGGAAAAACAGGACTAGATGCGGGTAAAAGCTGCATTCGGCCCTATGCAGAAGTTAGGTACCGGATGAGTGGGGCGTGGAGCAATTTGGAGAGGGGTCAACAGGAAAACCCGGCGGATTCCGGAATCCACTCTAGCGGAGGCAGGCGCTCCCTGCGGCCAGCGCCTCCGGTCCTGGAGTTCGGGCCGTGGAACCCGAGGGGTGGGGACTGGGGAGGGGGCGCACTGCGCACCCCAGCGTGGCTCAGGAGGGAGCCTGCCTGCCGGGGATCGGCGCCCGGAGCGCCAGGCCTCCCGCCCCTTACCGGCGGAGCTGGGCTTCATCTGCAGCGCGTGTCCCACCAAGGGGTAGGCGCGGGCCACCTCGGGGATGGGCTTCATCTGCTGCCACTTCCGCGCGTAGCTGGCTAACATCTGCAGGACGCTGAGGAGCAGGGTGGCGCCGGCCAGGGAGACGGCGCTCGCCGCGCCCCAGAGGAACAGCTTTTGCGCCACCGGCTCCAGCCAGAGCTCCATCCTCTCTGCGGCGGCCGCCCGGCGGGGACTGCGGTGGAGACCCGGCGAGGCGAGGTCGGCCTCGGGCCGGGGCGGAGCTCCCGGGCCGGAAGGCGGGGCCGCTGCCCGCTTCCTTCTGTGGCCCGAGGGCAAAGGCACCCGGCTGGGGGCGCTGCGGCGGCCGGGACCCGGTTTCCAGCCTGGGGGCTGGAGGAGCCCGCGCTTGCTCTGTGAGCCACACAGTGGTGCACGCGCAAAGCCACAACCCAGCGGTTTCTGGGCGCTGCAAGGTGGCTTGGACGCTCTGGAAGGCGCTTAGGGTGGGATGCAGAGAAGCCAGGGTGTACGCAGGGCAGCTCGGGGATGGAGACCGGAACTCACCTCGTACCACTTGGGGCGCCCTGGGGCCAGTCGGGGTTCACTGAGTTTGGGATTAGGGGATCATACTGCTGAGTTTGGAAGGATTTTGGTTTAGTGAGTAGTTTTTTTAAAATCAGATTAAAGAGATCCCTGTACTGAAACTCAGCTTTCAGAGTTCTAAGCTCAGTCTTCCTTGAGCAACCTGCAAGCGGGGTTCTACTCCTCGGCCCCTGACTTCTGCATCAGGGTGACTTATAGCAGCAATCTGACTTTGATTCAGAGGAGTTTTAGGGACATGACCTTCGGGAAACCGCCTATCAGGTTGTGTGGGCTGAGACCCTGGAGAGCTGCATGAACCTGTGAAACAGGCACTTTCCAAAACAGCCTCCAGGCTAAGGGAAGCCAAGCCTAGGAGAAGGCCTGAGGGTAAGCAGGTTAAGGGCGAGGGTTTGGGGTGGAGGCGGATAGTGATGCAGGGAAAGGAGAAGATGATCAGGAAACAGCAGCAATGGAGTACACTCGCCATGGAGGCAGAGCCTGGTGTAGTGAAATGTGCCTGAATCCTCAGGCTCCTACTTAGGAGGCTAAGGCAGAACTTCAAGTTCGAGGTCGGCCTGCGTAACCTCGCAGGGCGGGGTAAACAGCCAGGTAGCTCAGTGGTAGAGCACCTGTGGCTTCCAGCCTCGCAGGATCCGGAGGTGGGAAGAGGAACCGAATTAAAACCACTGGGCTTGCAAAAGGCGAAGGACTGTGAGAACAATGCTCTAGTTCTGCCCAGGGCTATGCTCCCTGACTGCTGGTTTTTCCCCTCCTAACAGAAGTGCTCATGTCTTTTGTACTCCGATACTCAGGTTTTTAGTATCTCCCTCTCTTAAGAGCTGGTCCTTTAGCACAAAGTAAAGTCACAAGGGAGATGAAATCTGAAGAATGTTGTGGACTCTACTTTGTTTAACCGTACTGATTTTCTTGAAGATATTGTGTAGGTTGCCTGCCAGCCACCTGCAGGGCCTCTCAAAACACATACCTGCGGCCTTTCTACCGTCTGACTCTTTTTTGCATCTGTATATGCTGACATAGGGAGAGATTAATGAAATATTAAAGAAAAAAAAAAAAAAAGGACAAGTCGGGTGTGTGTGAAAGGACGAAATAATATGAAGCAGGCTCCGGAAGGAGAAGTTAACTTTCTCTACAGCTCGGGTGACAACTGGAAAGAAAAGACTGTTCAGCTCTATGGAGCAGAGATGGAGCGAGGGGACTTACACTCTGCTCATCTCTGCACCATCAGTCACTTCAAGAGTACTTTAAAAAATAGTTATATTGGGCTGGCATGTGGCTCAATGAAGGAGCTTGTTTAGCATGTGCAGGGCCTTGTTTTTAGCCCTGAAATAAAAAAGTATTTAATACACCTAATCATGTCTTCTGGGCTTTTAATTTCCTCCTCCCCAAAGGACTGAGGCTGAGCCCTAAGGTCAATTATAGCTATAAAAGTGTAAGATATGCCCGTATCTGACTCTGCTAATCTCTATGGACAAAACAAGGTTTAGGATTTATAACCTTCCTCCCCCCCCCTCCCCCGTCACCCACCCATTAGTGGAGGAGGGATTGCGCTCCAGACGGTAGCAAACAAGGGCCCCGGCTAAGCAATGCTCCACAGCAGGGCAGGGTCTGAGGACTGAGGCCATTGAGTCCCTCTTGAAGACAGGGCCTCTGGCAGAAAGTAATGGCTGATAATGTGCACCATTATAGAGCAAACTGCAGAGACTGGACGGCCAGATCCAGATGTTTATCTCTTAACAGATTTTGAAGACAGTTTGTGAGTGAGAAAGAAGGGGGGGGGCAATGCAAATAAAAGCCTTGTGCCTTTGTTCCCTTAGTCATCTTTCTGTGTTCTTCTCATACTGCCTTGGAATGCTGACATTTCAGATGAAACCTCATGCAGAAGGCTGGGAGGGCAAGAAACATGTGGGAAAACTTTCACAGGACATCCTTGTGCCAACAGAGAGCACGGTGCTGCACCTTTGAATGTCTGCCTTGAAATGGTATGGGGCCCCATCTAGCAAGCCGTGGTGCTGCGCCAGAAGGTAATCTAGCAAGAAAGTTGGAAACTTAATCGCAAGGGTACATGCTGAGGAATACCACTGTAAGATTTGCTAGTTGTGTGAACACCATAAAGTGTATTACCAAACACCAAGATGGCCACGCTATCTCTAGGTGTACTAGTCCATCTTCTGTTGCTAATAATACGATTCCACAGATTAAGTTATAAAAAAAGACATTTATTCTGGCTCAAAGTTCTGGAGATAAGATGTCTAGAGGCAACATCCAGAAGATTCTTGCTGACAGTGTCCTAAGGCAGCATATAGCACCACGTGGCAAAAGACCAGGAGGGCACATGGGTTCTTCATGGTCATTGAATGATGTGGCTATATTTTAATTTCATTGATTTTTGTTCTTATCTTTGTACTTTCAACTATTTTGCTTTGACTTTACTTTTTAATTCATTTCCCCATTTTCCCTTCTCCCCTGGTAATTTGTATTCTTCCTTATGAAACTGACTACTCCAGGTACCCGATATAAGTAAGGTCATGCAATATTTCTATTTTTGTGACGCTTTTGCTTGGCATAATATCTTAAACCTTCATATACATGTAGCACATGTCAAAATTTTGAAATGAACTCCACATTTCTGTTGTTTTTTGTCTTACTAAACTATTTCAGATCAGTAGCATAGAAAGAAAAGTGGTGAATGTATGTCATTGTATTTTTTTTTTTTTTAATGCTGGGGATCAAACTCATGACCTTGCACTTGCCAGGTAGGTGCTTATGCCACTGAGCTAAATCCCCAGCCCAGTGTATAAATATCTATAACTTCTTGGATTGATGTCTACTATTAATTTTGGAAAATTAGTTGATAGCTTCCCTTTGAGTAGTTTTTTCATTTTATCTTTATGTGATTACAATTGCGTGTTATATTTTTCTACGTGTTCTCACCATCTTTTTGTATCTTTTTTCTATGCTTCAAGCTGATTATTGTCCCATTTTTCATAATCTTGTGTCTCTGTTGCTAAATATAGCTACTAAATTTGTAAATTGTTTTATTCAGTGTTAGACATTCAAATTGGTTATTTCTCAGCTCCTGTTTTCTGTTGAAATTGTCTTTTAATCACTTTCTTTGAATATACTAATCAAAATGTATCATAGTTTGTATCTGAAAATGATAGTATTTGAATCACATGTATCTGTTCTAATCTATTTTATCTCAGGTTTCATTCATCTGGTCCTAAATCAAAATGTATCATAGTTTGTATCTGAAAATGATAGTATTTGAATCACATGTATCTGTTCTAATCTATTTTATCTCAGGTTTCATTCATCTGGTCCTATTTTGTGGGCTGTTAATTTTGGGTTGTATATTGTAAATGAAGTTATAGAAACTAGGTGACATTGTTTTTTCAGGTAATTTTTTCTGACATGCAGATAAAATGTAGACATACCTTTCATTTACCCAGGGATTGCACTGATTCTAGGTTCTGCTGCATTTGCTTTCAGAGTTTATCCTATTCTGAGTATGCTCTTCCTCCAAGTGTTGTTTTTAAGGTTGTCAGTTCAAAATTTGAGGCATTTCCTAACAGTCTTCCTGTATGTAGTCTACTGAGCCTGCCACAGATTCTCCAATAGCATGTTTTAGTCTTTCTGTTCTATGCTACTGATCTGAAATAGTAAGACTCAAAACAACAGAAATATGGAGCTCATTTCAATATATTTTTTCTGTCTACCAGTCTGCTTCTTCAAGATGCCTTCATGTGTCTGTGTGCACCTCCAAACAGCTGTTTCTTGTCCATTTACAGCTTTTATCGTCTTCCATGGAAGGATTGGCTTCCTTGAGAATTTGCTTATTATCTTACATTATTCTCTTGTTATTCTCTCTTGTACCTAACTACAAGCAGGCTTTTCTTGTTCATTCTACTAACTGGGTCACTTTCTTGTCAGGGTCACTTTCTTGGACCATTTTTTGTTGCTGTCATTGAATACTACACACGAGGTCAATTTATAAAGGATTGGAACTTATTTAACTCACAGTTCTGGAACCTGAAAAGCCCGAGTGGCTGCTTCTGAGAAGGGCCTCTCATGGTAGGAACTTGCAGAGTCCAGTGATGGCTAGGGTATAATAGGTCAAAACAGAACAAAGGTACTAACTTGGCTCTCTTCCTTGATTTACAAAGCCCTAATTGTACCAGGAGGGTTCCACCATTATGACATCGTCTATTCTTAATTAACTCCTAAGGCTCTGCCTCCAAATATCACTAACATATGGCTTTAAAGATTAAGTTTCCAATACAACAAAGTTGGGGACACATTCAAACCATAGCAATCACCAATAAATTACGTCTAAATATTTATGTTAATTTTCTAACTTCATTTAAACTGACTTCTCAACAGCATTCGTTATATTTAATCCCTGATGCTACCTTGAAACACCCTACCGTGTTATAGGAATTCTGCATTATCTTGCTTTCCAGCTGTTCATTCTCAGGGTGTTTGGGAGGTTTTTCTTCACATCACAGGCCTGTAGATTTTTAAATGCCCCAGGCTCAAAGTTTTCTTGACCCTCTACTTCTCTACACCCACTCTCTTGGTTGCCTCATCTATTTCATATTTAAATAAAATCTATAGCAGATCACGTAGATAATAATTGCCTTATGATGCCTTGACTTACGAATTTTTAACTTTATGATGGTACACATTCAATATACATTCAGCAGGAACTAGACTTGAATTTTGAATTTTTCATCTTTTTTTCTGGCTAGTAATATGGCATAAGATCATTTGGTGATGCTGGGGAATGGCAGCACCAATCTGCAGCTCTAGCTGTCAGATGGTCCTGATGCTAAATAACTGATACTCTATATTGTACTGTGTGGTCAGCATTTTTTGGATACAAGTACTCAATTCATTATATGAGATGATCAACATTTTATTAGAAAATAAGCTATGTGTTAGGTGATTCTGCCCAATGTAGGTTAATTCTGAGAATGGCTAAGCTAAGCTAAGTGATGATGTTTTTAGGTTACATTCTAGGATATTTTCAATTTTTGGCCGAGGATATTTTAAATTTATAGTGAGTCTATTATGATTCAACCCCATTATGAGCTTACGCACACCTGAACATGCTGATAATTTCCAAATTTATGCCTACTGTCTACACTTCCTCCGCTATCACAGCTGCAAACTGTCCAGTTAATTCAACATCTCCACTTGGCCATCTAACATGCGTCTTAGGTGCGTCATGTCCCAACACTCCCAACCTACTCACACTCTTCCCAATTTCAGTAACGTGAACACCATTTCCATGTGATAATCCAAAAGCATTATTCTTCTTTATGTACTTGCATTCCATATCAAATATCATGATCTCAGATTTCAAAACTTAACTAAAACCCTGATTTCTCCAACCTAACCACCAACCTAATCTGAAATATGATTATCACTGTATCTTCAAAGCTTTGGTGGCTTATTTCACATTGCTGCCTATTTCCTAGAGTGCCAAAAACTGACTTGGTCTCTCAGCTCCTGTTTCCCTAATCTCATCTTCTATTATTCACCTTACTGATGCCATCCCATGTGCCCCTGGCCTCTTTGCTGTTTCTTAAGCATTACAACTATTGATTCTGATTTAGGCATATTTGTCTTCTCTTCAATCTAGAATTCTTCTCTGTAAATTTCATGATGTCTTTGTTTTGTTTTGTTTTTATACTGGAGTCTCTGCTGGCCTCTGCAATCGAGCCTTCCCTGGCATCACCATCTACAGCTGCACTCTGTCACTGCCTTGTTTTGTTTCTTCAGAGCATTTATTGCTAACTGATCTCATATCAGGTTTTTATTTGTTCATGATCTATCTCCTCCACTAGAATCTAAATTCTTTTAGGGGAAAAACTATCTTTTTTAGTCCAATGCTAAGAACATGTTATACAAAAAATACTTACTAGGTATTTGGAATAATAATAAATTCTTAGTGATTATCATTGTAAAAACATCATTTGAAACATATATTACATTGGGGTATTCATAAACGTTTACAAATAAACATGTATATACAGTTTGAATTCACTGAGAAAGATGTACTATGCAATCAGAAATAATTGAATATCTGTGTATTAGAAATTGCAAAACACAGGGATAATTGCATAAATTATATACAAGTTGAGAATATAAAGATGCTTTTACAAATGTGAATTTTAAATTTTTTAACATTCTTGTATTTTATTAAAAAATAAGAATCCTGAACAATGATCTGAAGTCATAAGAAAACAATAACAATATAAATTTAGCCAAATGATTTATCGTACTATAAAAATGTATCATTCAATTAATATAGAACTCCAATTTAGGTCAGAATAACATTAATGTGGATTCTTCTTCTTATACTGTTTACAAAATCTAGCAGTTTTTCTATGGTATTTTATATTTCCTAGCTTATTTTTAAATTTTTTCATTTCTCCTTTGGTTTTGGAAAAATTAAGATATTTTAATAAATGCAAACAAATTCGAAAATTGATATGAGAAATAATTAAATTTGCTTTTTAAAATTCTTAGCACAAATTCTGAAATATGGCTTATTTATTAAAAATTATTATGAATACATGGACCTAATTTTTGTATTATTAGTTTTAAAAACACCATTGTGACATAGGCATTATTTAACAATCTCTAAATCTCACAACATATAAATAAAAATTAAACAAAATTGGAATAATAAATGCTATGAGGTCACTTCTGGAAACAATAAGACAGCCAAATTCTTATAAAAACTTTAATGGTGTTTTATCTTCCAATCAAAATGCTTAGAAGATAAAATTCAAGATGTTTGTATCTCCTGTTTTTCATTTTTTTTGCCACTGATGTTTGGGTTGAATGGGGAAGCAGCTAGATGGTGCCTGAAAACTACAAAATAGCCTGAACAGTTGGGAGAGAGCAGAGTGTACAGTCCTTTCAGTAGCAATGATGGACCAGAGGACAACTAACCAGGGGCCCAATGTACAGATTCTTTTGACTACTTACCAGTATAGAAATTCCTCAAATTGGAAAACTGCTTTATTATGATTGATATTTTCTCTTAAAGATCTCCATGGCTAATGTTGAGGACTAATTTAAAAAATTTCCCTGGTGCTTCAATTCACGGTGATATATTTCCTAGAGTTAAGGCATTCTGGCCATTCAAATGAGGTCTCAATGTTTGCACTCCCAAAGAGGCACCATAACTGGAGAATGGAGTGGAGAACATAAAGGATAAAGTATCTACGGGGGGCAAACTACAGGTTCATTTGTATTTTGTCACTGTGATAAATGATAATGCTAATTATAGTGTCAGTACACTTTTCCATTTCCAGGCATCTATAAATAGACAAAAACAAATCTGTTTCCTTGTAGTCAGAGATGGGTCTGAAAATAATTTCTTATACATTTATATCATATATATTATATGAAATTTTGGTTTGGATTGATGGAAATTAGATCAACAAAGTATAAATACATGATGGAGAAGAAGAAATTACACTGATTTGAGATGTGAGATATCAAGATAAATCTAAAGACTTACATCACTATAAATTGTGTATATTTCTCCTTTACACCCTCCACTCCATCTTCTATGTAAAGCCAGACAGGGAAGCGTTCTTTGAAGTACTCCCAGGAAACAGAGTGAAGAGAGCTGCTGTTTTAAGAAACAAATGTTAAGGGCGTCCTTGTAGACTATGACGACAGAACAGTGCTGCTGCAAAGACTTCCAGCAAGATGGACACTTTCACTGAAATAATAAAGATGAAGCCACATGCGATAGACTTTAATGATGTTTATGTTCAGTTTCTAAAAAATCAATAAATGTGGTTATGTACACATACCAACTCCCCACAAAGAAGGTAATCATTATATAGTGCAATCATGTACTAATAAAAATTTAACTGACAAAAATAAAAATCAATAAATGTAAAGCATTTTTCAGTGGATTACCTGGATTAAAAATGAAAACTAATAAAACACAACTGGCTTAAGGGAATTAGCCACCGACGTTTCTCAAAGTGGTTCATAACTAAAACACTTTAACAAACATGAGAAAGTCAGAACAATGACCACGACAACCTGAATCCTTTTCAAATAGATTGTCTCAAATACAACTTTACTCTTTTCTGAAGAAAAAAGTGATATGTTTAGGGTTTTGATGGAATTATTAAGAGAATTAGAATATATATGCTGACGCACAAACCTATAAAATGGATTCCTAGATAATATACTCTTACGTAATATTAGTATATGAGTACATGAATACACTGATCGTACACATAATTGATAAAGTGAGGGAATTTAAACACACATTAGTATCTTCTCCGTAAAGCTTGAAAAACCTCAAGAATGCTTTCAGTAAAGAGCAGTGGGTCTGACCTTTATTCTCTGGACAAGGCAAAGTGTTCAAAATTAAGTCGCTTGTTTGCATATCTCTAGGGTAGTCTAATGTCTCAGACTGTCCGATAAACAGATAAACAGGATAATACTTGTTCTTCAACTTTTCAAGTGTAAGTCCACAGCTCTGATGAAGAAGTGTCAAGATGCGACTTGGAACCTCTTTCTTGAAGCCAAAGTTGTCCTCTGAAAAGATTTAGGGAGGTACTGTGAACCTGAAACCCAAACCAAAAAAATAATTCTCATTAAAAGATTAAAACATCAACCTTTCAAGAGGATTGTTTTATGCATCCCATGTCGATGTTACTTTTTACCCAGAAGAAAATACTTTATTCATTGTCAGTTTTGCACAAAGTTGGAAAGGACTACACACAGACAGCCGTTTGGAGTCCTAGGAAAAAGCAAAGGTGCTCTCACAACCGGGCTCACGCACAGGCCATGTGTTCTCCCCTGCTAGGACCTCAGGGGTGGAGCCTGGAAGTCCAGGAAGTTCAGCAGGAAGCTTGGGCAGCTCCTCTATCTTACAGGAGTAGCCACTCAAACTGACTGCAGAGATCTTTCCCACTACCAGACAATATCCCTACCCTGGGATCTTCGTTCTTTTTTAGCTCAGAACTTGCAAGGCACAGGTAGTATGACTTCATTATACAGTGTTACTGATTAACAATCTTTGGTGTGTGTTTTCCTCTGATCATCTAAAATTATGTTAACTAAATACCTAACTGCACCATGGATGTCCAGAGAAATACTGTTAGCACAAAGAATGATAGCTAATATTGCTAAGGAACCTTAAAAGCAACAAAATGTACAGTAAGGAACAACTTTCAGTACATAAGAAATAATTTAAAGGGCGAAAGACTCCCTGAAATCGTTATACCAAACAATTATAGAAAGGCTTATACAGCAATAAATCTGCTTAAAGTTTACTTAATTTTTGGAATTATAAGATATTAAAAATTGTCCTCTAAACAACATATTATCCTTGACATTTCAGATTATCTATAATGTAAATAGTTTATAATTTTTGAGTGGATAGCATATGCCTGTTATCCAATGAGGCCCATTTCATAGATCTTCAATGGTTATTAACCCATATAGCCTATTAGATGAGAAGAAGCTCAGAACAAGGCAGGTGAGGCCATTTCTAAGAATGGGCAGCTCCTAGATGGCAAAGTCAGGATGGAAACCTGATACCAGATTCTAGTGCAGTACATCTTGTGATTATGCTCTACCACCTTCATGGAATTAAAAAAAAAGAAAAGAAAACATTGTTGACAGTTAAAAAATCAAACATCTCTGGTTTGCATTCACTCTAACATTATTCAAATCACACACGTGTGTAAATGGGCATGTATGAATTTACTTAATTTTTATTTTTTGTAGTCATAGAGATTGAACCTACGACTTCACACTGGGCTACATCCTGGAGTTTATGGTTTATCTGTTTATTTGATTGTTATTTTTTGTTTGCATTGTGAATCCTATTTCTTTTTTTTAAATTTAGTTTATTGGTACATTTTTGGTTCACATAATAGGGAATCTGGACCTGTATATGACATTTCTTAATTGTTTTTGCTTTTCCCACTCCTACCCTCCCTTAACCCTTTTATAGATGAGAAAGCTAAGGGTCTTGCTCAGGTGCTTACCTGCCCAGGCTGGGTGTGATTTCATGAACCTCCTGTCTCAGCCCTCCAGGGGTCTAGGATTACAGGTTTGCACCACCATATGTATTTACCAATAAAAGATTATGTATCTATCTGTAAAACCCTACACTATAAAATAATTAGCAAGTAAGTATTAATTTTCCTCATACATCTTTACCATTACATTTTCAAAGGTGATCTAGGTTGAGAATTTTCTTTACAAGAAAAGCATGGAAATCTAAGAGCACAGAGAGTGAACTCTTGAAAGGCAAAGGCAGGATTTCTGTCTGTCTTTCTCTCTGTGTGTCTGTCTGTCTGCCTGTCTCTTTTCTGACACTGAGACCCTCTCTCCATACATTCAACCCAACAACAGTAGAGTTCCTGTCTGAGCAGGCTTGCTATCAAAGGAGTTTCCGATGTCAGGCTGCAGAGCACAGATGTTTCCTGTTTCTTCCTACCTGGTCAAAATAGGCTGATCAAGTTAGGTAACCTTCAATTTCAGTTTTTAAAACTCAAAATATTACCATTACACAGTTAACTTGATAGGTGGAAAAATCTGACCTGTCAAAACACTCTGACCTGTCCACGTGTGGTGGGCAATTTCCATCAGGGTCAATGAACCTTTTCGAGGTGTATCCGACTGTTAAGAGGAAAAGAAAATGATGGATGAACTTTATTTTTTCAAATTTGTTTTAAGAGTCAAAGTTATGATTCACAGAAAACCCACCCGGAAGGTGTGAGTTGTGCTGGGCCTTGAGAGCTGCTCCATGGTTCTTTCTCGAAGAGGTGATCGTTCTATGCAGTCAGGCACTGCGCTTAACACCCGGCTGGGTGGATTCCTTCCTCTGTGCTGAATGAAGGACCATGCATCAGAAAATTGATAGATATTTCAGCCATTCGCGTGCTTATTCACTGACATGCTTATTTGGAAATTTCATTTAGATATCGCTAAGTATATGGGCTATTAAAGATAAATAGCTAACTATGTCTAAATTACAAAATTATTAATAAATAATTATTAAACCAGTTAAAATGGTACCATGACAATAAATAAACAGAGATCAAAAGACTTAACCACAGGTACAAATTTCCTATGATGAATGTGATCAATATGTATGACCAATACATACTAATAAAAAACGAAGCTTGCAAAAAATAGCCACATAAAATTATTACTATTAAATTACACCAAAAATGTAATTTTGAGTTTGTGAAGCATCAGACTTACTTATTTGACATTTATCTCCTTTCAGAATTTCCTAAGGAGAAACGTAAAAACGCTGCCACTCTTGCTCTCTGGGCCTGTAGTGTACTGCAGTGCCCAAGCTGGCACAGGGTTAGGTCAAGAGACAGGCAGATCTGTGTTCAGACACTGCCACTCAGCTTGGCACTAAAACACTCTTGGCTGAGTTGGGATTTTTGCTCCCCGGTGCCCCAGTGTTCTTAAAACCAGGATCCTTGTGCATTTTATAAAGTAGATTGGAGTTTTTCATATCAGGATGAGGCCTCCAGGGGAAACCCGGCTGGTCATACTTCCAGCAGCACCCTGTCCCCAGACTCGCTGTGACAGCAGGACTGAGCGTGAGTGAAGCTCTACCTCTACACAGCAGTAAACATGCCAAAGGTCAGCTATAAAAATGAGAGCTGATAAAAAATGATGAGGATAATAATTTACTTGGCTGTTCATCTGTGCCTGGTACTATTAAAATGTATTTCTAATACTTTTATAATAATTCCTTGAAGAATCATTACCCTTTTATTTTTTGTTTGCATTGTGAATCCTATTTCTTTTTTTTAAATTTAGTTTATTGGTACATTTTTGGTTCACATAATAGGGAATCTGGACCTGTATATGACATTTCTTAATTGTTTTTGCTTTTCCCACTCCTACCCTCCCTTAACCCTTTTATAGATGAGAAAGCTAAGTCTCAAGGAGATTAAAGTAATTTGTACCACATCACAGTTGGTATGACAAAATCCAAACACAGACCGCCCTTCCTTTGATCAAAACTAACCTCTGTCCTCTCCCTATCACTATGCCACCTTGACCATCAGACATGTCCTTTCTGATTTCAGTTTTCTGACTCAGTTTAAGCCCCATTTTTATTTCACACAGTGGTGAGTTAGTCCTCTCACCCCACATAAATTCTCATATATAATTTGCTTCCTAGAAAGACATTACAAAGACAAGACAACTAGTAAGATCATTGCCTATGCTACTGGCTTCTCTGGGAAGTACCAAGATATTTTTCTTTGTCTTCCAACAGATTACCTAAATAGTTGCTATTAAAATGACATTCTGTCTTACGGATACAGAGCGGGATCCAGAAAGTGCTGTGTTCTGTTCCCCAGAGTCTGAGCCAATTGGAGGCAACCGGCTGCGGGAAGTCTGAATTGGTGGGGAAGACAGGTGGTCTATACCAGTTTGCCTGTAAAAATATAAGGAAATGCAACTGAATACCCATGTCCAAAGAGACACAGGAGCAGAACCTACCATGAAGCTCTTAAACTGAACTGCTGATCACAATCTGCCTTCCAGATGCAATGCTCAAGAAGAACACACTTCATTTTAGAAAGGCAGGTGCAAGGCTACTGGGACAGAGATCTGTGCCTATAGTGGAAGTGGTGGGGAGGCTGTAAAATGGTTTGACCACTCTAGGAAGCACTCTGGCAAAGTATTTCAAGAACCTTAAACATATTTATAACCTTGGCCTGGTAGTTTTTCTTCTAGGACTGTACCCCTAGGAAATAAGTTAAACACATGCTTATTCAAAGAGGTGTAAGACGGGGTTCACTGTACATCATCAGAGTAGAAATACAAAAAAAAATGAAAACTTGCACTAATAAAGAAATTAATACTTAATAAATGATCATATGTAGGGAGTGGCTTCGAATAGCTGCTGCTGCCCTGCCCCTCCCGCCTGAGGGCATTTTGTGTGTCAGCCTACATTTCCCATGATCCTCCCCTTGCCTGCAATGCACATGACAAGCAAACTTCCTGTTTCAGCCTGCCTACATTACCCATAATCCTCTCTTGCTTACATCATATAACCGGATGTGACGATGACCTATCAGATTAAGCCTTCTTCCTGCCTTTGGCCTGCCTCCACCCTATATAAATTGTAGCCATTTTAAAAATAAACAAGACTTGAATGGAATCCCGCCAAGTCTCGGTCTCTCTTTTCTCTTGCCCTGCCCCCATCCCGGATCCCCTCTCCAGGTGAGACCCATGGATTGATCCGCGGGCCGGATCAATCATAGATGCATATGATAATTTGTACTCATTAAAAAATCATGCTTTTGAAAATATGTGATAACATGGAAAATATGAAAAGTTAACATCAAATGAAAAAGTATATGAAAAAGTGTTACATTATACAAGAGTCAACGCTAATAGTAGGAAGAAAACATGATAAAGAAGAAAAAATACAATCCTAGACAAAACTGATAGGAAATTTATCAAAAGCTGTCATTTCTATATTTATGTGTGATAAAAACACAAGTGATCTTTGACTTCTGTTCACAGTTTTGATACTGTCATGTTCCAACAGCAAACTTTTGGTACTTAGGTATATCTAGGAAAATATTATTTATTATAATTATTATTATAATACATATTATTATATATAATATATATTATAATACTATTTACTTAAAGTGAGTGACAAGGGCTCAGTGACGGAGAGCTTGCCTATTACAAGGGAGGTCTTGGGTTTGATCCCTCACCCTACAAAAAAGCAAAACAAAGTGGAAGAAAAGAGAAAGGGGAAGAGGAAAGAAAAGGCAGAAGAGAAGAGAAAGCAGGAAAGAGAAGGAAGGAAAGGAAAAAAGAAATAGTAGAAGGCAGCATAAACAAAATCATGGAAATAAGAGGACACATAACAGGTGTGTCTATGGTCACAAAGAAGATGAGGCTGCCAGCTGGTGGAGGGAGACAAGTAACTCGCAACAGTCACGTAGGCACAGGGAAGGTGAGATCTCCTCTACATAGTGCAAGAAATTTTACTCCTGCAGAATGCAATTTTAAAGCACTATTAGTTTTAAAGATGAGTCCACCAACATCCATCCAAGAGCACCCTACCACCAGAGATTCATTTTATTTACGAGGTATGGTACACTGACTTTTCACTCTGATATACAGGCCTGTATACTGCTGGAATAAAATTAGTATTAAATACTGAAACAAACTTATTAGAAAAGAGTCCAAATAAAATCTGATAGGAATCCTCTGTCCAGAATTATCCCTGAATCCTAATTCACAAATGCCTCTATTTTACGGGACCTTTAGCTTACCATGAAAGAAACAAGACTTACAGTTTTGTTCCCCTAAGAATTTCATCACTGTACACATTGGGGGTTTTTATTCTCAGTGAATCTGACGTAAGAGAAGGCAGCCTCCTGTGCATCACTGTTTTCTTGGCAGAAGTCTGTAATCCTCTTGCATCTGAGCTCCGCCCCATCCGGTGACGAACAAAGGAAAAGGCCCCAATGCCTGCAGCAGATGATTTGTCCTCCTGCTCACTCCTGGGGGAGGGAAACCCGGTTATATAAGTGCTGTAAGAACACAGCACAGAGAACACATTCCCCTGAGTGTTTGCTGAGTGAATGGACAATCATTTCCAACTCTACGCGCAAGAAGAATCACTCACAGGAAAAAAAGAGCTACGTTTCTTACTGTAAGTAATCAAATAAAGCCCACAGATTAAGATTTCTGTTCTCTATTTTGCTTTTCTTATCTCCCCAACTTAACATGCAACAGTCATTTTTTTGTAGTTGACTTTAGAAGAATTTGCTTTTGTTCTTACATGCTGGCTGTGCTGTCTCTGGAATGTACTTAGACACATCTGGAGCCTAAGATTAAAATGGAATCTTCCTTGTCACGTGTACCTGCAGGCCTAAGTGCTCAAATATGTTACCAACTTAGGGCAGTGGTTGAGCAAGTCTTACGTACTGTGTTCTGTCTGCAAAATAGGTAGGTCTCTGCTGAAGAGGTTTGGCTTGAATTGTCATCACACCGTTCAAATCACTACAGAAATTGTTGGAGAAGCGATGAATCTGAGCAAAGTAAAAAAATAAATAACATGATAAATATCCACTGCCATTACAAGTATTGATGCACGTCAGGAACCAGGAGGAAACAAATTACACAGACTGGCTAATCAGAGAAAATTTTAGTAAGGAAGATAGATTGTACACATAGAAATCTCATTTTATAAGGTTCAAAATGCATTTTAAGCAAGGTAGGAAATGCTGTACTGAATTTAACACAGCAGTTTAGAGAGAGCAAACAACATAATAAGCAGGTAACAACAAGGACATTATGAGACAGGGTCTCACTAAGTCTCTATGTTGCACAGGCTGGACTTCTTAAACTTGCAGTCCTCCAGCACCAGCCTCCCAGAGTTCTGGGATTACAGGTATGCACCACCACCCAGCTCAAACACATCTTTTGAGAGGAAAAAAATCAATCAGATTTATTGCAAAGCCCTTCTAATACAGAGGAAAGCACTCCTAATAAGTATTGTCTTAGTCTCTGTTCCCTGAACCACAAACCCTTTCGATTGTTTTGAAGATGTTCCAGTTATTTGCTTCTATGGTAGGTGCACATTTTTTGTTTCTCCCTTTACTGTTTTAATTTAATGAATCTTACCTAAACTTAAGGCTTAGTTTACATCTTATCTTAGTTTGCGGAAATGATATATCTTTACCCTGAATTGGATAGCACTCATGATTTAAAGAATATCTAATTATGAAATATATAATAAAGTATTTGCTTACAATAAAAACTAATAGTTAAGTATATATACTTCATGCATGCTGAATGTCTTATTTCCTTGAATTCTTATACCTTCCTACTGCATAGATGATACAGATAATGAAACTGAGGTTTTAAGAGAGATGGACTAATTTGAGATCACACAGCTAATAAATGGGGATGTCAGGCTCCAAACCTATAGTGCATATGCAAAGCCAAGCTTTTTAATCAGTCAGCTCTCAACTACAATTCCTCTTCATGCATGTGTGTCTGTGTGCATGTGCGCGTCCGTGCGTTTGTGTGTGTGTGTGTGTGTGTTGACTACCCCTAAACTGTAAACAGTATGTAGCTAAGACGAAGAATCATATCCAACCTTTTTCTCTGCTCTGCACACAAGATTCACTATGTGAAACATAAAGGTCAAATTCTCTAGCACACTGAAGCCTCCCCATGAGTAAGTCCACCATTTTTCTTCACTTGTTACTCCTGCACATCCTTGAAGATATAATTTAATAAAAATGTATTGAGCGCTTAAAATATGCTAGATGCCTTGCACAGAACTCTCACCTATTTCTAAGATTTGAGCCTCACAGTAATTTGAGACAATGTATTGTTATCTTCACCACATAGATATGGACACTAAGTTTAGAAAACCAGATAACATTCTGCACAGGGCTCCTGATTCCAAATTCCACTGCTGCCACCACTGTGCTGTGCTGTTTCGTCCTCTGTCCTCTACATCCTCACTCAAATCACCGGTCCCCTAACACATTCATCTTTCATTCACCCATGCCCTTGGCCTAAAATGTTCCACACAGTACTTTTATCCATAAAATTTTCTTATTTCTTCACATTTCATTAGATTTCACCTCTAATATCAATAATCAATCCTCATCCTTTATCTAGGATGAATTATTATTTGTTTGTTCTACAATGCTTTCTTACATACCCCTCACAGAGTGTACTCTATCTAACTTTGTGTCATCACATCTCACTAGATCAGGGACATTGTATTCATTTGTATATTTCCCCTAAGTATCTAATATGGCATGTTTAATGCAAACAATAGCTGTTCAGCAAACACAATGAACATTCACTGATTCTTCTGTCACCTTGGCAGAAAGACAGGAAGTCATTTATAACTTTAAATTGGCCAAAATTTTAGGGGAAAGTATTTTTTCCTTCTGCAAAAATAAATAGTTCCCCATTTCAAGGCAAAGCTCATTAAACCATGCAGCAATTCTACTAAACATCATGAAACAACTTAATCTTATTGATAAATACCAAAACTTGATAGTAGAATTGAGCAGAACAGCACTGTTGACTAGGCGAGAGACAGAGTGAGAGACAGGAAGACTAAAGGAGCAAGAGAGACAGGAAGTGAACGCATCTACCTGAGGTGGATTCAGCTGCGAAGCCAGGGACACACAGCGAGTTTCAGAACTTCTGGACGGGGGAGCGCTTGGCACATCTGTGCTAAGGCGAGGCATGAACACACGTGGAGATCTGGTTTCAGCTGGTTTGAACTTTTCTTTCAGTTGTTTTCCTTCTGAGTCAACAGCAAAATCAATATGTTAAGTAACATCAAGCTATATATATACTTAAAATTCACTCTTCAAAGAGAATATTTGCTCTTAAATTACTACAAATTTATGTTAAAGCCACTGATTACAAGCCATTGCATTAGAGAGCAGAGAACTCCAAGAGCAACTGGCCAATATAATTATACTGCACTGGTATGGAACGCTGAGATTATACAGTACAGGAAAAAAGATTCTCGGAGTTTTATAAATAATACAACTAAGCACTTTGGTGGAAAAAGATGATGTTAAAGTTAACATGATTATTGCTTCTTATTGTACCAACTGATAACCTACAACTAGCTATGTCTACTATCGATATTTCTATTAGTTTTTTCAGCTCAATTTTAAGGGGTTTAGAGAACATTCTATAAGGTGAAATGAAGATAAATGAAGTGATGAATAAATTAGTTTTGTTTCCATTTTGCTTTGTAAACAATGTCATGGAAGTTTCTTAAAAGTCTCATGATTAAAGACTAGTTTGGTAAGCATTTTTTTTTTAACTACAGTACATTTCTGTGATTTCTCCGAGCTGCATATATATTATTTTTTAATCTCCAAACCACTAGTGCCCTTTTGAATTGATTAAAGATCACATAAGAACACAGCCATTGAGCACGCTTCTCTTCCCATTCCAGTCCTGTACAAGATGTGGCCAGAAGCACATCTTAGAAGCTCAAAGCTGAAGGAAACGGGTGCTGTTTTAGTGTTTAGTAGGCCAAATTCTACAAAGAAGTACCTGTCAGTGCAGTTTCCCAGTGCTTCTGAATTAGCTCCCCCAATATTTCTACCATATTTGTCCAGACATGATCGAACACTTCCGCTGCCACAGTGTCTTTGATACAGTCGTGAGGGGAGATGGGAGGAAGTCCGTGTTTACGCCACTTCCTGCCAGCGCCAGCTGGCTTTTGTTCAAGTTGTTCATCACCACTAAGGATAAAAGCCCATCCTAATTACCAGAGTAACCAGATTGAAGTTACACCCAATCACTTATTAGTCATCTATCTATAATGACAGATATATAAGTATATGCATGTATTTACATATGTTAATAAGCACAGCATTCCTTTGGGGCACCATATTGTTATTTTTCATATACACTATTTTTATACCTCAATAAAGACAAGGAAAAAGCAAAACAAACAACTCTTTTTTTTCCTACTATCTATTTTCTAGTCTCTATTTTATGTCTATTCCATCTTTCTTCCTTCCTCTTTTAACTCCAGGCTTAATTTGTTCTTTTTCTAGTCCTTTCAGATGAAAAATTAGTTTTCTTGTTTGAACTCTTAAATTGAAGGTATCTACAGCTACAAATTTCCCTCTTAGAACAGCTTTTGTTTCATCCCACAAGTGTTACTATTTTGCATTTCCATTTTCATTTATCTCAAGATATATTTTTGTTTTCCTTTTGGCTTCTTCTTTGACCCATTAGTTTTTCAGGATATGTTGTTTAACTTCTGCATATTGGTGAATTTTCTAGATTTCCTCTTGTTACTAATTTCTGGTTTTCAATTATAGTACTATACTTTGAAGATCACTTGATATGATTTTAACCTTAAATTTGTTAAGACTTATTTTAACAACTGGTTATTTCTTCAACAGTTTTCAAAATCACAAAGCAAATTTTTACCCTTCAGTATTTATAGCTTTTATTTAAGAATAAAATACTCAAATTTGTATGGAACTTCCCCATTGCTCTTTCCACTGCCAGATATAGGGATCCTGGAGCCCCCAGTGCACCAGGTAAGCTCAGTAGCTTTATCCAATTTCACTAGTAGGCAGGACACAGCTCTGGTTTCCTATCAGCTGTGCCATGGTCTCAGAAAGAAAAGGAGTTACTGCTGTAGTACATATTGCTACAAAATGAAAAAATTGGGGGGTTACACAGTATTGTCAAAAGAATAGAAACCTGGATAGGTAAAAAAAAATACACAAAACACTAAATGAGCATTATCTTCGTCACATTCCCATTGCTGGACATAATAACTGACACTCAAAGGAGGAGACATTAATTTCAGCTCATGGTTACAGTCTCTGGTTGGCTCAACCCAAGGCAGCCAGATCACAGAGAGAAAAAACAAAGGAGCCAGAAGCAGAAAGATTCCTTTCTGGGTCACACCTGGTGACTCACATCGTGTGACCAGATCCCACCTTCCAAAAGCACATTCAGCTCTGAGTTGTCTAGTGGGGTAAGCCCCTGGTGAGTATTAGCACTGCATAATCACTGTCCAAAAGCTGAACTTCCGAACACATGAGGCTTTGGGGGAACATGTTAGAACTAAACCACAACAAGGATATAATAAAAATAAATGTCAGATAAAGTAACATTATACTATCAAGTCAATGTCAAATAAAACTCTACTTACTCCTCTCTTCTATCAAAAGCAAAATACTCTTCAATCTTCCCATCCACACCATAAACCTCTTCTTCCAGACATGAACATGCTGCTTGGCTTTCAATGCCTGTGCCATCGGAGTCTGGCAGGGCAGCGGCTGCAAGTGCTGCTGGCACTATCTGAGAGCCAGAGATGCACAACCTATGGGAAGAACCAGACTCTGTATGGGAGTTTGTAGAACATGAGAACGTAATGCTTGCATGATCCCAGCAGATCTTTTAACTGTCCATCAAGTACAAAATCTTAAATTTTAAAAATCACATTATATGTCACATTTGACAAAATTCATCTTAAAACCACTTTAACACAGGATCATAAAAATTTGTAAGGACTTCTTAAAAGATTAAGTTAATCTTCATGTCTGTGTCTTCTGTGCTATCTTAAAATGATGTGAAGACAACAAATTATGTAAATGGCATGAAGAGATTTATCAGTCTGTTAGTGAGCACAAGAAAACAAATTAGCATTTAATTTTTTCTGCTTCCATGGCCTCAAGACTTAGGATCTGTCATAATGAGGTGATGTCTGATTCTACATCTGTTTTACTTTTCTAGTGCCTCTGGGTCTTTGTGTGTGTTCAATACATATTTTACACACACACATACACACACACACACATCATTATCATCGTCATCTGATGATGTCATCATTTCATCAACCTGGCATCAGAAACATCTTGTAAAAATCATTCTCTGTACCTGTCATCCACTATTCTGTATCTGCAGATTTAGTGGAGCTAAGGATCATGAGTGAGACAAACTGAAAAAGATGACTAAAATACAATTAAAAGTGGCTTTGGAAAGTAACATTCATGAACATACTGTCTGACGTTGCTGTTGGGTTCAGGGGCATCAGGAAAGGGTTTGTGGCTGGCAGAACTTGGCAGGCTGCCCTGGAAGTGTTGGAACCCTTCATCAGTCGGCAGGATGAGCTGTCTTCCTAATACTCTGCAAGGACAAAACAGAAGCTAAGAAGCTATTAACACCTTTGATCAGACAAGGCAAAAATGTTTTATGACTTTTAAAGTAGAGTATAAAGTGAGTGTGCTGCAGCGTGTCTACAATCCTAGCAACGTGGGAAACCAAAGCAGGAGGATTGCAAGTTTGAGCCCAGACTAACTCAGCAGCACAGCCAGGCTCTATATAATCAATCAATCAATCAATCAAAAGGTGGAGAGCACTGTTAAGTACCTCAGTATGAAATCCCTGGCTTCAAGCTCCAGTACTACACCAGATAAATAAATAAAAATAAATAAATAGTAGAGTACAATAATGATTTTACAGGCATGAGATGACACAATGTGTATACACTGACCCATGAAAAGCATCATGGGGTTAGAGAAAAAGGCGGCTCTCTGAAGAGGCAGGACAGGCCCTTCTCACCATAGACTAAGTAAGAGTCCGCCTGAGGTAAACGACGGATGGTACTTGGCTGTCAATGACTGTGTTCTGGTGCCTATTTTGATTGGACAAATGCTGTCAGACACGGTATACATCGATCCCACTCTGGAAAATGTCTTCAAAGGATTTCTGTACCTCAGGTGGAGGGACCTGCTTGCCCATTCACTGCATTCCACCAGCAGGTTCTGAGTCTGAGCACCTACTTTCCCTTCAAATAACATTTCCTCCACCTCCCAAAATAGCTGTTGCACCTTCTGGGCATTGGCTTTATCAAATTCCTAAGATAGAAAGGCACAGTGAGTTACAACAGTAGAAGTTACACAAATACAGGTTTCACAACTGATGACACATAATTTAAAATGACCCATGACATAGAGGGAAATATAATAATGTGACAAGCATGTGGACTTCTACATTGACAGACAGATGGAAGTGTTCCCATTTTTACTTTTTTGATCAGTTCCATCTCATGTCAAATCTCCACTTCAGATTTCTTTACTGTAAAGTAGAGATGATTTCTACCGCATGAATCATGAAAGTTACTGGAGGTTTTACACATAAGGTGTAATAAAAATACAGCAAATGTTTAACAATTTAAAAAATATTACTGCAAAAGATACACTGCCTTTAATGCCTTCAAAATACTCCCTTTCAGTTGAACACATTTATCCTGCCACTCTCGCCCCTTTCGGAAGCAGTGCTGGATGTCTTCTTTCATTAGTGGCTTTTCATGGCTGCCTTGATGTTCTGAGTCAATTAACTTTTGTGCCAATTTCTGTCAATCAAACCATTACGGTGTGTCTTTATCTACCTTATTCCCAGATCTAGCACTGTGCAACTTCTTGTTCTTTCCCAAAATCAAAATAATCATTAAAGTAAATATTTTGAATCGATTTGGGACATGAAACCACAACAGCACGATTAAAGATACTTACAAAATGCGACATCCAGAACTGCATCAGAAGGTGGTAAGAAAAATGGAATAAGTGTGTTCAGAGGAAGAGGCATTGATGGCAAGATTTCTTTTACTGTAATAGTGACTTTTCAAATGTAAACATTCACTACATTTATTAATCACACAGAATAGATACACAGATATAGGGGAGGTCCATCTGCAGACATCGATATAGATGCTCAAACTTACATACACTTACCCACACACACATATACCCATAACACTCAGACACACCCATGGACATACATAAATGTGTCCTTCACAATGTTGTGCTTAATGTACCTAGTCCATCTGAGAAATACAAACTATTTTCTTCTGATGATACAGTGGAAAAAAGAAATTACCTTTGTAGAAAGAGCCATTAACCTTCTTTTAATCTTTAAAGGAGAAAGACTTCTTTAAAAATCCTTAGTTATTAGAGTGAGACCAGAGCATTTTTTTCTCCTGAATAATTTGGGCAGTTCTGTAACAGGAGAAGTAACCCACAGGCTCTAGGCTATGTTTTCTGTTCTTTTCTTTTGGTACCGGGGATCAAACTCATGACCTGGCACTTGCCTGGCAAGCGCTTGTACCACTGAGCTAAACCCCCGGCCCCAAGGCTGTATTTTCTCATAAGAGTATGTGAATCCAATATCTAACGTACAGGTCAAAGCACTAAAGTGCACATCAGGTTAAGACATACTTGACCCAAAATGCTAGAGTCTGATTGTCATACATAGTTATACATTACATTATTTTTGTGCCAGTTCTTCTTTCAAACTGCTAATAAACTAAGTTCCCAGATTCCAGGGAGCTGTATTAATTCTTTTAAAATTCAACAAGGAGAAAAACAGTAATACTTGTCTCTTAAAAGGTGACCACGTGGCTGCAGCACATGAGGAAGATTACTTTTATCCTGCTGTGTTGCATTTTGTTGCTTTTTGCAAATATTTCCTACAAAAATGTAATTTAAAAATTTAAATTAAAATGATGAAAAGGAAATTTCATAGAATAATTTAAATTCTATAAATGGAAATCATAAGAACCTCCCTTGACCATCCTATGAATATGTGTGCTGAAAGAATCCTAGATTTTGGGGGCTGGGGATTTAGCTCAGCGGCATAAGCACCTGCCTTGCAAGCAGGCAGTCGTGAGTTCAATCCCCGGTACCGATAAAAAGCAAAAAGACAAAAAAAGAAAAAAGAATCCTAGATTTGGACAGGGTGAAGAGACAGTTCTCAGGCTCCTTGGCAGGGGCCTAGCCTTGAGAGAAAACAGTGTGAGGTGGGCGGGCATGGCACTGCGCAGGCATGCAGGTGGCACTGCAATCAAGGGAGCCACATGTCCTTTCAGAAGTCCTCTGAGAGACTCTGAACTGACCCCTTCTAAGCCCCTCCTGTGTCCGTCTCACTGCCCCTCCTTTGGGAATCACTGCTGCCAGAGCACAAGAGGAAGTAGACTGACATGAGCTGCGGACAGTGGAGAACTGCTCTCAGAGACAAGGAGTAAAAGCAGACCAACAACAATGAGGAAAGCTAGAACCCAAGACGCCTTGATGGAGGCTCGTCCGTACCCAGATGGGCTTCTCAGAAACGGTATCCCAGGATGCTCGGGGACACTGATGCTGACAAAAACAGCCGAGACCACGGAGACAGCATAGCAAAGCTAGGGGTGCAGCTAAGAGCTCGGGCAGCTAAGAATTGCACTTTCACAAAGGATCAAAGTGAGATCACAGTTTAGAGCTTCCCTGTAGTGTCAGAAGATGAAACTATAATATCTGCTTTACTACATCAAAGGGAAATTTCCTAATTATGGTGGCGTTTCAGCTTTTACTTTTCAAAACTGTTCTTTTGTGTTCCTAATTGCCAATTTTATCCTAAACTTCAGCAACAGACAACAAATAAGAAGTCTTAAAAATATAATGGAGAGCAAAGTAAGGGTGGAAAAAACAAACTTACCAGTAGCCAAGGCTCTGGGCTATAACCCACAGATTATAAGTGATTTTCACTGTTCCTTATATTTCACTATTTTTATGTGTTACATCAACTACTCATATACACGTATGGATGTAAGTGATAATGCTTTTATAAATGATGAGAAGTTCTTGAACATAAAGTAATTCTCCATTATAACTGTAATAATAGATTTATCCAAAATATTCTGAGACGTACATCATCCCTCCAGGAATACACTGAGCTCCTCTCTGTGGACAGGCCGGTGGTAGAACTCTGTGTCGAGGACACAGCCCACGAGTGGTGGGCTTCGGTGGGCGTGCAGGTTCCACTGGATGAGGCTGATGATGGGGATTCACTGCAGAAATGAACACAAACAATGGAAACAACATGTACAGTACTGGTAAGAGATTATACTGTGCAACAAGAAGCGGCTCTGGACCTACTTCTTCCTTCTTTCCTTACATACATTTGTTAATTTCATTTGTTAATTTCACAGTGCACTCATTTCAAAATATTTTTGTAATGTCATTTTCTTTGACAGCATCTCGCTATGCAGTCCAGGTTGGTTTTGAACTCACTATGTAGCCCAGGTTGGCCTCAAACTTGTAGCAACCCTTGTGCCTCAGCCTCCTGAGTGCTGGGATTACAGGAACATACAACCACTCCTGGCTGCATTTTGCTTTTAGAAATGCATGTGTCTGTTCACTAATGTTGTTTTCTACATTTCTCATGGGTAGTTTTTTTAGTCAGTTAACAGGTTAATTCTTACCTGGTATATTTATTAATGGCCTTCTGCACATTTCTTGTGAAACATAGAGGTAAAGGCTTTTTGTTTTTCGCAGCAAAACTGTGCTTTCTAGGTCCTTCTGACAGTCCTCTTCTGCAAAATAAAATAAAACATGAAAAATCTCTTTAATATAATAATACAGTTTTACTCACTGAAACATAAATTTCCTTTCTATAAAGTTGTCTGTCTTATGCAGCTTTATTGTAAATGTGTATGCATACACATACATCCTCAAGAAGTTGAAACCCAGGTTTTTGACATTTTAATTTTTCTTAGACTTAAGGACTCCAATACCTTGAATGAATCGTTATGTAAGCTGGAAAAAATACATCAACTTTTAGTGATTCAGCTAGAGAAGTAAATGGTGGCCCAAAAGAGTTGGCAATATTCCAGGCATCCTCACTTGGAACCATAAGCCCTGAGCATGGGCTAGACTTCAGTTTGCCCTGACCTGTGCTGTTGTACTGTACTTAGCCAGCACTCCAGGAGCAAATCATTAATCCTGTATTAGTGGTGAAGCCACCAAATTATTTTGGATCACTAAGAAGCCACACATTTCACCTTGGCACTTTGGCTTGCTATGTGTTCTGGGATTTGGAAACTCTGAACATGTTAAAATTTAATGGAGAGTGAAACAGAAGAAATATATAAATTTTAAATAAACTATAAACTTAACTGTGTAGCACAGTTGAAGTTAATCATTAAAATACTCCTTCAGTGAACCTCTTAAAATATTTACTTCCCTCTGGTCAAAATATCTTTCTAATGTTAATAGTATACTACTTCTAGTCTTTTAGTAGGAATCCCATTTTTCTATGAAAATAAAAACTATGTTACTGTAAGATATGGTAGTGAACTAGAAAAAATTTTGAACTTTCAGTTTTTCTAACAAGAACACCATTGTAGTTTGCATTTAAAAGGAAAAAAAAAGTGTTTTGTTTTTAATTAAAATAGTACCTAATTTTGGGGCTGAGGATGTAGCTCAGTGTTGGAGCACTGTCTTAGATCCTGGGTTCCATCCCTAACATCACAACAAACAGGTAAATAAACAGACAAGCAAAATGATACCTAATTATCAACATTTATATATTTTTTTAAAATATAAGTGGGACAGCTCCTGCTTTATTTATGTATCTATATACTCTCCAATAAACAGAATTGTAAAAAAAAACAAAATAAGACTATAAACAGACACTGGCCAAGACCTGGTGCCCTCCATAGATATGTTTTGTACAACAAAAAATAATCAAATTATATGATTATTTCCCTTTCTTAACTATGCATGTGTCTTCAGTACAATCAAATAATTCTGATAAAAGTGTTAAATGTACCAGAGAAATGAATAAAGGACAAGCTTTCCTGCCAATCAACTGCTTTACTTTTAGCCCTCCTGAGATGTTTTCAACCACTAGTTATTTACCATTTATAGTGGGGCTCGATAACTTGAGAGAAACACAATAAAATATTTAAAAATTATAAAATATAAAACAAAACCCAACTAAAATTACATCAAATAGGTCAACTTTGAAAAACAAATATATACTCTAACATGAGCTAATGTTTTTGAGAAGTAATTTTAATACAGCATGCAGAAATAACTAAAATTTGCTCTTTCGTGATATTTTCTAAGAGTGGATTAAAATTTGCTCTCCACTGAGGTTTGTGGCATCGTGTAAGTTTGTACAATTTCTTAGACTGTTTAGAACATATAGACTTCTACACTGTTACGGTTTGTGTCTAGATTCATGCAGTCACAGGTGGAGCCTTTGGGAGGCGACGGGATCTAGAGTGTGATGCTGGGATTGAGGATGTAATGCTGGGATTCAGGGTGCAATGCTAGGATTAAGGGGACCCATAAAGAAGGATATCCTGGATAGACTACAAGCAACAGAAAGAGGCTGCTGCTTGTTGCTAGCTGCCTTTCCACCTCTGCCCTCTCTGAACTGTTGCTACTCTAGCATGCCACCCTGCCTCGGAGTCAGTCAACTATGAACTGAAACCTCTACAAACTGTGAGCTGAATAAACCTCTCCTTCCTTAATTTTTGATGTCAAATATTTTGTCACAGCAACAAGAAAGGTAACCAAGACACTGGGTAAAGAACTTGGGCGCATGAGTCCAATGTAGGATGGTCTAGAAGACACAGGTAGAGCTCCAACCAGGATGCACGCCACTGACCTGTTCATCTCTCCAGGAAGTACAATTTACTAACAGCACTGAATATTATCCTGTGAATAACGCTGAACATCTTTAATCCTTTGTAAACTATCGACTTCTATAGGTTCTAAACAATGGAAGAAAGTGTACAAACTTACAGGTTACATCCTGTTTGTTTTATTTATTTTTCTTGTTGCTGAGACAAAAATATCCAACACATAAAGTTAAAGGAGCAAAGGTTTATTTCACTTCACAGTTGGTAGCAGTTTTAGTCTGTAGTCAGCTGGCCCTAAGGCTGGGTGGCATGGAAGAGGGGCATCACCGAGATCAATTTGTGCCAGGTCAGGCAGAAAGCAGCAAGCAGCTGCCTTCCCTGTCTTTTTGGGCGGATGGTGCCACCCATACCTAGGGCGGTGCTTTCCTTAGCCACACCCAGGACCATGGTAAATCAATCATTTTAGTTATCGCATACTCTAAATCCAGGCCTACTTATGAGCATATGAGGCCATGGGGTCATCTAGATTCGAGCCACAACACTGTCCTGTAAGTATTTTAAAACTTGAATGTAGTGAGACCTGTTCAGGTTAAATTTCTTAACACATAGGCACATGTCAATTTTGTGCTTGTTGCTTTCTCTATCTATAATATATTGCTGACAACAAAATACTGCTTCCAGCCACATTTCATGTGGGCTTGAGATCTGTTTTCCCTAATGATGCACTGAAGTGCAATTGTCAAATTGCGCCTGAGTCCCAAACACCGTGACTCACTCTATTCCAGCTGCCAGGAAAATGATTTAATTATCAATTTTGCTTCTTTTAGGTTGCTTAACAGCTCACAAACTCTTACATGCGGCCCCAGATAAATAAATTCAGACAAGTAATAATCGTGAGAGCTTTCAAAATGCAGTTCGATTTGAAAGAATTATCAAGAATGCGCACGTCCTCTGACTTGGCTAATATCCATGGAGGTCTTCTAGACCACCAGCAAACACAGGCCAAGTGACCCCAGGAAGCTGCCCCTCCTGCAGGCACACTCCTGGTGCGCTCCCTTAAGCTAGGTCTAAGACCAAAGGCTGGGAATTGATGAAGTCACCTCAGATGCAGAGTGCTTCTGGGAGCAGGTGAGCAACTTTACTGGGGGAAGCCAGCTGATGTGTGCACGCCACGGTTTCATGAATGGATTCAGGAAAACAGACCAGATGGATTCTAGCTTTTCACGCAGAAAAAAAAAAAATCACTCACATTGCACAAAAATAGGACACAACAGAGAACTAAATCCCACCCCTCTCCAGAGCAAGACTTACCCAATCACAATCAGCTCAAGGCCTTGGTCTGCTTGCCCTGGCGCCGGCCCAGCGCCCCGAGGCCCGGGTGCCGTGGGGTGCTGGCACCTCGCTGCAGGCCCACGCAGGCAGCGGGCGGCCGTGCGCCCCCGCGCCCCCGGGGCCTGGGCTCCGCGCCCTCCCAGTCCTGCGCCCAGCCCGCTAAGCCTGCGCACGCGGCCGGGGCGCGCCCCGGAGCCCCGGGGAGCTGCTGGCCGGAGCTGCGCGGCCCATGGGCGCTGCTGCTCGTGGGGCGCCCCGCGCCTTCCCCTTCCAGGTCCTTCGGCACCGCCAAGGCCCGATTCCGGCGCGGCCGGCGACGCCTCCTGGCCACTCCGCAGCCGCCCTCCTCTCTTCCTCCCAGGCTGCCGCGCCCTCAGCAGGGGTCAAGCAGGGCGGGGCGGGGCTCCTGCACCCCCTCTTCCCCGATCCTGCCTGCACTTTTTGCCCCCTCCCACTAGCTCCTCTCTGTGTCCGCGCGCCCAGTCCCCAAGCACCGGATTCCTGGAAAAGCACGCAACTGTTCCTGCCCTTTCTCCTGAGCAGAGGCCCGGTTTCATGATCCAGTGACCAGAGCTTTTGGGCTCCTGGTGCACAACCCAGGGTCCTCTCTCGACCCCCAGTGCACGAAGTCTGCTCTCTGTCCTCTTTCTGAGGTCTCTCTGGTGAACAGACAGACAGAAGGTTTCTGCCTTAGCTCAGTGAAATGGAATTTTAATATCCAAGAGGACAGAGAACTACAGAAGACATCCCCACACACCCACAAACACAATTAAATGATGCTTAGGTTGGGGGGGGGGCGAGTGAAGTAGAAAAAAAAGAAGCCCCCAGTTGGTAAAAGCAACATGCATTACTCATTAGGAACTCTGAGACTAACCATGTTCACTATAGATTTATTTCCTTTCATCACCTGTCTCTCCAAGCTTTTTGTCACAAACTTGGTAAATTTCCTAGAAATCAGAAGGCATCTTTGCGGTCTGGCTTTTCAATATGTGCTTGTTTCAGTTTGGAGTCACACAGCTATACCAGTCACTGGACTCCATGGTGGGAGACTGCAATCAGCAAGTTATCACTTCTAAGCTAAAGGAAACAGGAGCGAGGTAACTGTGGTCAAGTGCATTCTGAAAGCCAGACATCCAAGGGAAGGTACCTCTCATGGCCTTACTTTTGTTACAGGCAGCTGAGTTACGTAGAAGTATTATAGGCAGTCAGACAGGGCTGAGCCCTCAAAGGAGCCAGGGCAGAAGACCAGATACTTTGCAGCCTTGGAAGAGAAAATCACCTTCTGCTGTGGGCCAGATCTCAAGACAAAATGCAAAGCAAATACAACCTTATCCTAAGGATCCACAGTCTGAATAGTTCTCCATCACCCCGAGGAAGTCCCTAAATAGGACAGTCTTTGGAAACCCACATGGGATCTCTTTTATCTCTCAATAAATATATTCCAGTCTTAACCTCTGATGTTCCTAAAATTCATTCTCTGATTTTAGAGAACATGAACTGGTACTGGACATATAGAAGGTCAGGAGTTTCATGCCCCGTATCACTTTCTCCCCTAAAAATTTTTAATAGTTAGAATTAAGAAAGCAAATGCAGGAGTTTTCCCCACCTCT